AAAATGCCGCGCGTTAAACCGTTTTAAAATAAAAAATAAACATAATAAATTCTTTATTATGTTGGAGCGTAACTCTGTTAATGTTCATTCAAACACTCGCCACTGCTAGCACTGCAAAAGTCAGAACCGGCTGGCCGTATAGATGATTTTGAAAATTTTTTTTAACGGTTTAGCTAAAGCCCACGCGTGCTGCGATCGTCCTGAATATTGAATGATAGCAATTTGTATCGCAATATTGTGAAATACTGCATTCTGTTGTGCGAGGTCTGTATGATAAAAACAGTGCCTCATAGTACTGTTTCACCTCAGATGTGATGTATAAATGATATAAAAGGTTGGTTTACAGTCGCACCCAGATTTGTTGGCAAGATTTTGTAAAGTAAACTTGTCGAACGCAAAAAATTCGGCCGGAATTTTTTTTCCAGGCCTAATTAATCTAAGGCGATCATGAGCCATTATGGCTCTTAATAAATGTGATCGAAGATGATTGCCAGTTTTTGGGTGCACTTATGAGGCTATCAACTCGATGTGAGATTTGGTTCACTCTTGGGCTACTTGCAAATTATTTTTTGTAAAATCACTTAGCCTTTCCATGAAAAGTCACACGAATGTGCTCTAAAGTTAACTGAATTGTGGAATACAAGTTTACTGTTTGATTTAAATTATAAATTTATTAATGGGAGCCTCGCTTTTAGCCCTGGCTAAATCTATATATTAGTGAGGTTACACGGGACACTTTTACCGTGGTAAATGATCCTTTCACCTTGGGAAATTGGCGTGTTCCGTATGACCGGACTTTCCCGAGGTTAATTTACCATAGGAAATATCCAAGTTTACGTCAAAAAGAAGAAAGAAACCGCCCATGAAATTAAGCGCGGTAAATAGCTTAAGTTTTTCGATACCAAAGACAAGAGAGCCAATTTTTTTTCCGCTGTTTTACCAGGCAGATGTTTTATCTGAGAAACAATTTTATCGTGCGGAGATACCATACATGGGTAGAAACTTTTCGACGAAGAAGCCGATTTCAGTTCAGTTCAGTTCAATTCATTTTTATTTAGCCAAAGTGTAATACAATACAAGAATAAAAATACGAATTGTAAGTTAGAAGGCTTATGAAGCCTGGGCTCCCCACAGTCACAAAGAAATAAGTAAAATTAAATCCTCAGAACTATACCGCCCTCATTGTTAAGTGACTCACACGCGGTTGTCAAATTTTAAGTAAGTTGTAAGAGATGTAAAGCTCCTTTAAGGAAGAAGACAAGGCACCGTCGCTATGATAACACCTTAGATGGCGGCGAAATTAAAGTGTTCTTGCCTCCGAGACGAAAACGGTAGTTTTGGTTGAGCAAATTAATCAAAAATGAACGAAAATCACAAGGGTGTCTAGATTCACGAAGCTTTCCTTACTATCTGTCCTAGGCCAGACAAGATTTTGAAACTGTTTCTCATCCATGCATGTCACTCAAGACAGTGTATTACAATTATTATAGCGCTTTTTATAGCTAGGTACCTTCAGAAACGATGTAAATGCTGTTCCGGGTTGATCCATAAGCTTGGTTTCATCGTTTATTGCGTTGAAATCGTGCTTATTCAGCTCGCAATTGCTTTCACTGCCCTTCCCAAAAGCCTCTTGGAAGTTTGTCGAAGTACACCAAGAGTGCCTCAAACATAACTGACTGCACGACATCAGACTCGGAGAATCAATATTTTTGACCGCTTTTCCAGGTAATCGCTTATTTTGCCAACTTACGGTGTAGACAGATCTAAAGATCTCTTCGGCTGTGAAAACTGCAGCGATGCGGAAGATGCAGTATATGACGACTGGCCAAAACATTTTTTTCTGGAACTCGACCTTCCAAGTTGATGGTCATCCAAAAGTTGTCCCCGTTATGTGCGTTTGGGAATATGTAAGGCAGAATTCTTAAGGTTGTTGAGTAGATATAAATTAATTGAAATATGATTGCAGTCAAAAGACGTATGAAATGTTCTGTATCAGCGTCTGCATTTTGGAATAACAATTATAACTGTGAAATTTAGTGGCGCGCTTTTCCTCAATGGAGGAAAAAATTTAGCCGGTATCCTCGTCGCGAGCAAGTCCCAAAATGAGGACATGTGCAGAGAAAATTCAGATTTTGAATCGAGGAGCTGAAATCGCTAACGTCCCAAGTCTCAAGTTACTAAGAATTTACTTCTTACAATTTCTTGTCGTGGGACACTCGTATTAATAATTTACTTAATAAATTATTAACATACCTTCATTTATTTCTCAAAAAATTAGGTATCTTTCTCGGCATGTTAATCTTGGTAGAATGATCTTTGAAGAGCTTTATTTCAGTCATTATCAGTAAACATTATGGTTGAAGAATTTGCGGAAACTGTAGTACCAACGACTATAAAAAGCTAGCTAATTGCTATGCTGTTATAGATTCGGCTCCTTTTCCGAATAAATGTTAATCAATCTTGAGGCGTGTTATCGGTCAATCTCTTCCAGACAACGTATGGACTCGTCAATAGGCCCTTTGCAGCTAGCCATTCACGTGGTACAAAATTGCCATGCTGGAGAGCAAAAGTCGCACTGAGACAAGACAAACAAAGGAAATTACATTTAAATTATGTATTCCTTTTGTTTGTCTTGTCCCAGTGCGACTTTTGCTCTCCTGCATGGCGGTTTTGTACCACGTGAATGGCAAGCTGCGAAGGGCCCATTGTCTCTAAGCTTTAATTCTTTAAATAATTTAGCACTTCGTTATGCTATGCGAGATAGTTTTACCATTGTTGAGGGAGTGAATTATAGAAGTACACGCAGCTCATAAACGGACGTATTGTGTATACCAACTGGGCATCTGATTGAGACGGGTGGAGTGGCTTAGAAACATTTTCTTAACCTTTTTTTCTGTCAAAAATCCCCAGTCGATTTATTTACTTTTTACACGCTTGGTTTGTTATATTAATTTTTTTTTTTAGTAAGACACAGTTCAGGCAGAGTACAGAAGCACTTTTGAACAAAAAGGAATCCTGTTTTTTAATTTAACTTTTTAGTTTCTCTTCAACTACACAACAATGGAAACTGATAAAGAAAGTAGAAAAACTGGCGAAAATGTTCTCAAGTAAATTTAGGCATGGTCACACTTGAGAGGATGGTGTATATTCTTATGCATTTATTATGAAGCTGTATATTGATTAAAACATGAGATTTCTCAAAACTTTAAACTTTTAAGCAAATTTTTGTACGGCCACAGAAAATGGCAACAGTTCATAGTAGAAATTTCTTAACTCTATCGGTACAAGACGATTCATTTGCAATATAATGAACTCCAAAACTATGTTTGGCCACGTTTCAATATGCAATGGCTTTTAAAGATAAACAGTTTTTTGGACTAGTACCCAGTCCCCCGTTACAACTGTTCCTTTTATCAGACCTTCTCTTTACAATACCCTGACCTCGCCAAGCACAGAATTTATATTCCTAATGGCCTTAGAGCTGTAAGCCATCAGGGTAAAAATTGAGGCACAAGGAAAAGTGTGCCCATTTCAGTTAAGAGCTTCTTAAGCCGTGAAGGGTCACGTTAGATCATCTGCATATTTTGGGCTAGCTAAGTTGCATGACTCGAGTAACATTGTATGTGTCTGACAAAGTTTCACGCTGCTACTTCAAAGGTTTCCAAAGATAGTCTAATAACTTTTTCACTGAACAAGCGGGAGCCCATTAATTTAAAAAATGACTTGAGTTGCGGCACAATATTAACCTTTAGCCGTAAAAGTAAACACTCTATTCGCCACTTTAGAAGCGAGAAAGAGAGTGGTTGGAGTTAACTCTCGCAAAGACATCTGGAACCGTCAAGGAGGCAGGGAAAAACATTGACCAATAGATGACCCGCGCGTCTCCATTAACGATCCCAGAAGTCTTTGCGAAAGCTTACTCGGTCCAGTCTCCTTATAGTTTCTAAAGTGGCGAATTGAGACTGTGTATAATCTGCTCCTGACGCTCTCAATTAGTGACACAATAACGGAGTTGACAGTGTGGTGGTTTAACTAGTCTGTACACATAAAACAGTCCACAGTTCCTGACTTTAATTGTTATCTCCCAGTTGCAGCAGTTGCTGCTCCAATGAAAACAGAGACGTCTGTTGACAATGCCTTCCTGGGTGGTGGGGTGTACGCCATTCAGCCATCCCGTCGCATGCGTGTTGCACTTGTTTTTAGACACGCACGTGGTGGGCATTTTAGTGCCTGCGGTGCTATTAAAGCGGTACCACGCTGTAACCAATGTCTTGTCGCATTTGTATATCGCACCAACTTGTGCAAATAACACGCTGCGGTCGGTTTCGTTGTTCAGTGTGTAAGAGCTGCATTCAGAACCTACAAATGTTGAATATTAACAAAGCAGGTAGATTAAGCAAATACAAAGCAACGTCAAACGAGAAAATGAAAGCGGACGGTTGAATGCTCACAGGCTCTTTGCAGTTAGTCGTTCACGTGGTAGAATAGAGAATGGAATAGAAAACGTTATTAATGTGTCGGAGCCGTATAGCTTGGGAACAAACCCATACTAATTTGGGGACACAATTAATTGGAATTACTTATAAAATATGAAAGTAAAAAATAATTAAACTACGCATAATATATTATACCCTAATGATAATCTAAAATAACTGAGAGAAGTAAATAGTTATAATGTGCCGAGAGAACAGCTCTTACATCCATCATCTATCATTGAGCTTATATCATTTTTACGAATTCTACATTTAAAGATGTTCAGAGTTTTCGCCATAACCTAGGCCCAAGATACCTTAAATAATGTTTACCATATGTTACAGTATTATATCTAGGAATCGAGGAATCCGAATGATATAGTGAAATAGACAACGATGCTGGAGAAAAGAGCACGAACAGGGGCAAGACAAACAAAGAAAATTTACAATATAAATGATGGGAGTGTGTTCCTTAGTGGTCTTGTACCAAATAAATGACTAACTGCAACTTGCGCCGGTTTTTAACCTTGCGCACGCCTTCGTCACTAAGGTCGCGGTTGTTTTTTGCTTTAAATCTGCCTAACAAAGTGTGTAAGCCGCGAAGTGCACGTATAAAGTGGGTCGCAAGTTTCCAGCAGTGCCAGATCCCTTAAATAAGTCAAACTGTACAACAAACCGCAGTCTTTCATTAACTGCGGGGACCAGAGGAGCCCGCAATCCTAATATCCAGGTCACTACTACACATGCGCAGCACTCATAAAGGCTGCCCGTTTGGACTTACACTGAAAATGAATGAAATTCTTAGAGGGTAATCTAATCGCGCGCGTTTATCCTTCCATCGTGGGAAACTTACGCAAAGCACAGCTTTGGAACAGGAGCGTTTACATAGGGCTCGCCCGCAAATTATTACTAGTTTTTAAGGCATAATCTTCCAGAATTTATTTACACTGCAAAAAAGCTCAATAGTGGGGAAATTTTTAACTAACCCCTCCCCCTCTCGGTACCACTTTGCTTCCTAAGAAGAGGTTTTTAAGTTTTTTTTCTTCCAATTCGTCTCAATCTAATATCAGAGAACTGTTTCTGAGAAGATTATCTCTCAAAATGTCAGATTAAACAAGCAACTATTTTTAATCTGATTTTGTGATAGTCATCATGGTGGAGTAAAAAAAAAACTTACCTGTAGCAACCTCGCAACGCGGGCCTGAGAAGTGTGATGAGCATGTGCAGATGTAACCATTCAAAATATTCGTGCACGTTCCCCCATTCAGACATGGATTGCTGGAACACATGTTTGTATCTGAAAGAAAGGGTTTCTATCAATTGGACGTTTCTCCTCATAAGAGGGATCATTCACTCATCATCTTCAATTAAAGATCAAATTTGTAGATTTACCTTCATGTAGTGGTCTCAATTTATATTAAGGATCAAATGCTGTCTACTCACCTCCTTCACAATGTATTCCACCGTACCCTGCTACGCACCGGCAAGTGTACTGTCCCTTCCCCTGATAGTCACAGGTCCCTCCGTTTTGACATGGGTTGCCTGTGCACTCTACAACGACTTTGAAGAAAGTACAAATATATTGAAATTACTCTCTAATCCTTGTAGCAATCACAGATTAATAAAGTACAGTGAGGCATTCAAACATGGGAAATTCTCTCTCCACCTTTTTTTGTATACCTTTTTTAATGATTTTAATTTAATGAAATATACTCATCGTAGTGTGTGTATAATAAGCTATCTTCTCCCTTGTCTCTAGACAGTCGCTTTCTTATTGATCGCGATGTTATGACCCTCGGGGGTACACGCAAATTCATACCCCTACCGTGGTACAAGGGGAGTTGATGAAATACCTCCCCGGAGGTTTTGATATGTTGCAGTATTTCGAAACGATTTTGCCTTCAGTGGAAAGCCTTGGATCTTCTCAACAAGATGAGGTATATTTTATGGGTGGTGGCGCTGCTAGAGACCCGTGACGTCACCAACAATAGTTGCCATCTTGGATTTTACCAAGAATTATAAATCAGGTTAAAACAGTAAGAGATCGTAATTTTTTCTGTTTGACATGTAAATAACATATGAATAAGCACTTTGTATCATTTTAGCCACAATCTATAATTTTATTGTTGAAAGAAGCTGAGAAAACATGCATTTTCACTCAAAAATGGCTTCACCGCAGATGCTACTTACGACGTCATATCTCTTAACCATAGTAACTGACCACCTCTAAAACTTGTCTCAAAATGCGTGCGAGTTCCAGTGCCAGCGCAAGTGTCTATTCTCATTATTCCTGGAACTATCAGGGGAATGGGTACAAGTCTTCGGCGCAATGATTTCTGGGATTGTTTCAGTGAATGGTTTTCAAGCTAACCCTTAACCTATCATATACGATAGGTTAAGGGTCAGCTTGAAAATCATCGACCAATCATAACCAACGTTTTTCCACCCAAACAAACCCAGAAATCACTGCCTCCAAAGCTTGTACCCATTCTCTCTGGAGTTTCTGAAATGGGAAATTACCTTCCTTTTCCATGTCACAAAATGCATCGAAAGGTTGGTCTCCATGCCCTCCCGAGTCCAACCAGTATCGTCCATTAGGCGCCAGGCCTTCGGATGCGTCCTTAATTTCTTTACACGACGAAGCGGGAAGCAAAAATGTTGAACCTAGAAACGCTGTCAAAAGACATAAATTGCTAATAATGTAAAGTGCTAAGGGATAAACAAAGTGTTAATTGAAAATATTTCATAGTCGTGTTCGTCAAAAATTACGACTGAAATAAGGTCAGCAAATGAAACATAGATTGATTAATATAATGTGGTTCATCGAACTCTTGATACATTTGGAAAAAGGGCGAAGAGCTAACGGTCTACCGAGGTAAAAGCTGCTTGTCGGCACACTTCAACAAAGGAAGATTTTCATTATATTTCATCATCGCCATGTGCATAAAGTAACCGTAAAATATAAACAGTTGGACACAATAAATAAAAACTGCGTCAAACTGTTTTAGTTTCAATAGCGAAAGAAGGAATGAATAATGAATATTACCTTTCGCGTGCAAATTAAAGATAACGTGAGCAAAAACTGTTGTTTACTTTTAGCAATTGCATTATCAGGCAAGATGAATGCCATGGAATCGGCATATACAGTGTTCTGAACAACTTCGGTTTGGTATAAAGCTAGAGTGAAGCAGCTCGAACAAAAATTGGCTATGACTGTATAAAATTGTTTCGCTAGAAATATAGTGGCATCAGTCAAACTTGATTACCGTAAGGAGATATTTTACCAGTAGCAAACAGAATCATAATTAAGCAAACGAATCTTTTTATTTCGTTCGGGGGTAATTATTTCAGGTAGTAACTGCTTTCGATACAAGTGGCAACTGTTTTAGCATGAAACAGAGGCCAAAACGTCCCATCGCATTGTTTTAGTCAATTCTTCTTGCGTTGGGATTCCTTTCGGCTTCTCTCGCACCGAAAGCAAATAAATGAATCTTTGAGGATAGACTGGGCTTATCGCGTGAATTCTAGCCTCCAAAGCAGGCGTATTTTGCAGTGCGAACGATTGGACGTTGAAACTGACCTCTGTACCCCTGGGTCGCTCTTTCGTTAAAAAATAAATTAAAAGTAAAACTGGGCAACTCCCATACATAGCTTATGCGACGGCGTAGATCAAGTTATTTTTAGTATCATTTTTGGGAACTTTTCCCGCAAAAATAGAAGCACCGTTCCTCATGCGCGCGCACGCATCCATTCCAAGGTACGATAATTACAAAAAGAAGAAGTAAATGTTGACAAAACATCAGAAATACTTTTTTCTAGTGTCCGGTTTTTAATGGCTGGTTTGATATTCAAAAATTGCGGGAAAATCTATCTAAAAATAAACTGGTCTGTGAAAACGTTGTTGTAATAGGCTCCTGTCGAAACTGATGAAATAACCACAGCAAAAGTCAGGAAAGTAGTTGTCTTTTGCGTGTATTTAATTTGGTGTTGTTAAAACGAAGATATAAATAATATTCAATAGGGCTTTCTTGCCAATGAGAATTTGTCTACTATCATTTTATGTCGTTATCTAAGAAGTAATTAGTTGTTTATTTGTTTGTTTGCTTGTTTGCTTGTTTACACGGTGAATGCAGAGCCTCGATCCTTTTTAAGTCAGGGTCCAACTCCCTTGTAAGGTATACACTCAAGAAAGGATTAAATCTCAGTTCAGCTCCAAGTTTACAAAAGTAATTTATGAATGTGCGAAAATTTCAACTCACCTCGAAACGGATTGTCCAAGTAAAATGCATTTCGTTTCAGAATAAAATTCAGTGGTAAGGTCGCAGAACGCGTTCTGTTGTTCAACTCGCACAAACTTCCCTCCCTGTAAAAGTTCAAGCTTTGACAAAGTTGCTCATCTTTGCACATGTAATAGCAGGTAAACATGTCCGACACGGCAGCAGATTTGTAGCTATGCCTTTGAAGAAATGCTCCTTGAAAAGATGTCACGCATTTCTCACCACGTAATCCAAATGTGTAGACGAATGGAAGCCAGAAAATATAGGGACATGTCTTAATTGTCAGGAAATATAATTCTGACATGGCCTAAAGATAAGGAATTTTGCTGTTAAAAGAGTCTTTTAAAACAATCTACACGTCCACTGCAGTGAAACGGCCGATATCTTCTTGCCGTCAGTTAAAATGCAATGCGTCCATGAGTGAGTACAAATTAAAACTCACTGAGAACCGGCAAAAATATTATCTGCGTTGCAAATTACAAATTATCAATTTCCTGACGTTTCTCTCAGTACAAACATTGAATAAATTTGTTATAAATTTGTTACTGAGTTCCCTTTGCTGCTCGCTTTTTAAAGTGGCAATCACAAGTTAATATTATGAAAAAACGTCGGAACAATATGATATATTTGTGTTCTCTCACCATTTTACTCTTCATTGCATATTGTGCTTCTGTCCTGCAAGATGTCTCTGCGATTGAACCGAGCATCAATAATCCATTTGGTTTCGTGTTTCCCCCAAAACATACCTGTCAAATAAAACCAGAGGTATTGTTCATCGGCCTTTATTTGTCTAACTACTGAGTTTTAAAATTAAAAGCGCAGTCTTAAAACAAATAAAATGTGATAATTGGAAAATGTATGCTAAATCTCTCACTCTCTCACGCTTAAGAACTATCCATTTCTTAGTGTGAGGCAATATCTCATGTTCAATAGTGTAAAAACGAATGCAATTAATGTTCGAGATAATTTCCGGCTATGATTGATTAGTGACCGTATGTAGTATTGAGATGTAAATCCAGAGTTTGCTGAGTCTACTGAAGGGAAAAGCTTTTAAGCTCGGTGGCTTGAGAAATTTTGTTTTTCTTACCTTTTTTTCAGTTAATAGCATGGCGGGTTTAAATTATTCATTATTAGATTTGCGACAAAAAAAATGTATGTAATTCTTAGTTGAAACTGATATGCAGTAATTCAGCTATTAAGAGATTTAAACTAAGCTGAATTTATTAGAATACGATATTAACATCATCAAAAACCGCCTTAGTTTTAAACGAGGCGGAAAACTGGAATCTACGTCGAAATACCGACGATTACCGTTGTTATAAGTAACCGTTTAATCTAATTCTGAATTTACTTCAAAAACAAAGTTCCCAGCATCATTACAAACGATGTCCCTTGTGGTAGAGAGTGGTTTTATTTCACTACCGTAAATCACTAGAGCTGATGAAACAAATATCAAATTTTTATACTGACTCGCCTGCCTTGACCTTGACTATTCAGGATATAAAAAAGCTTTGTTTTTTTTTTCTCTTCCTAAACTCAGTAGTTTTTCGAATATAACTGTAGATGGAATTTTTTTCGCATTGAATCCGAGGCCATGCACTTGCTACGAATTCTTAAATCATATATTCACTTCCTTTAGAAATCTTACTACCGACCAAAGATACAACAAACAATTTGCTTAAAATTTTACAAAAGAGACCAAGTGTAGAACTTGGGTGCTTACCATTTGACAGAAAATTTCGGAAATTCAGGATGAAAGGTACATGGTAAGGTCACTTTTCGGAAATTTTCCAACCGAAAATTGAGGAGTACGTTTTGAGGTAGTCTGTTCATTCCGGTTGGCACGAACCAAACGGAATGTTACTTTCGACACCCCAACCAGATTTTTCTGTCAAATGGTAAGCACCTTTTGTCTCCTTGTTTTTTACTTTCATTTTACCAGCTGTTTAAAAAAAAATTTCTCGAACATTCATGTTCATTTTGCCGCACATGAAAACTGGTCTCGAAGAGTCTTTTATCATTAAATACGTCAAGTAAAATAAAGATTCTTTCGAGTAGATTTCTGTGACTTGTGCGGTCGGGGGCCCTAAAGGCAACGAATCGCTGCTGAAGTTTATACAAACGTTGCTTTTGTGCCGATCATGAAAATTTAAGTCCAAACCCAGAATTACCCTGGGTTATTGAATTCATAGTATTTGTTGCTTTTGTTGTTTCTGTTGATCAACCTTTTATAATAAGAAGTAAGGATTAGAGAAAAAGGTCAAAGAATAATTTACAACAAGCTAACTTCATTATTGATAGTACTGTTTGGAACCATGATTATAGTTCACTTCGTTCATACTCAGATGGGGAAGATTTATTTTAAGTCATAAATTTCTGTGACTCTCCATGTATTTAGGATAGTTGTGACACGAAAAGTATGAATAATACTGATAATATTCACTTTTAAAATCTTTATTTCATTTTAATGAAATAGAGACGTGTAATAAAATGTTTAATATCCTTAATTAGCATTTCATTAACAGTTTAAATTACACTTGATAACTTTTGCATGACATTTTAAACCTATGTTGTGCACTTACGTGGTGTTAATTTGGTATTACGTGCTTTTTAGGCCTTAGAAAAAGGCGGTTTAAGTCTGGAATATGTTTCGAATAGAACGTGGACAATTGTTAGTGTTAATTAGTCTCAGTTTCATTCATTCTGTTTATAACAGTTATATATTATGGCACCTGGTGTCATGAGCATACCCTACACGCGTTTCCATGGCCAGGTAATTTTGAATGTCCTACGTACGTTTTGGGTCCATTCAAGTTCCGTTCTTTCTACTTAATTGGTGGTCATCGAGTCTCAAAAACACAATTTTTTGCTGTGGTCGTGCTCCGGTGCATAATTTCGCTTTCGTTTCTCTCCACAAAATGAAAGGGAAGAAGTGGAAATTTTGCAGAAAAAACTGGTTTCAGCTATGGAGATTAAGACACGATTCAGTTGCATGCAATGAAAAGTTGTAGACTATTCTTATATACGTACAGCCCCCCAAAATAAAGTGCCCTTGCGGGCGGCAATCTTGATTTCAAATGTAACGCGCCTCCCTCATGCTGGGTATAAATATCAGGTCTAGTAAGGCGTCCCATGATCCCCTTTGCCTAGTCACTGTACGGCGCTTTCCCAGTCCCTCTCGATCAATTCACTTTGGCGATTCGCTTGGACCACGTGACCCGAAGCGCTTTGGCCGCGCGGAATAATGAGACCTAGGAACTAGCAACCATCACCACAGAACATTTGATACTCAGTCAAAATGGCCGACCGTAAGGGACGGTGCTCGACCCCCCAACGACTTCAGAAAAATAGGGGACTGTGAAAAGTCTATTCGATGGGATTTTTCCTCTATGTGTAATTAAATATTTGTCTACATCTATAATGACAGTCACACACGTATCATGTGTGTGCTAGTCAGAAATCCAAAAATATTTTTCCCAGTATTTATTTTAAATACTGCGAAGTCTTACGGAACTAATTCTGAATAACTGATCACTACGAAGAGAAATTGCCAGTTATTTCTAAAGTCAGATAGAAAAGATACCGACGGGGTAATTTCGGCGTGAGCTTGGCACGCAAAATCAATGATTCAAACATTTTTTGAGTTGGCTGTCTCTTCCACAACCTTCCCAAGCGATCGCAAGAGACTGGGGGACGAGGCAGTTGAGTAGGGACTTTCCCCATTTTTATCTGTGTATTCTCTCCACCTATTGATAATAAAGTATCACCTTACTATTTTAAGGCAGAAAAGATGAGTCAGTCACGCCATCTCTATAATTTAAACATCATTCGCATTCTTTGAGTAGGGATTTTTCCCTTCTTTATAATCTCAAGGACTTGAGACATGGATATGCTCTCTCCTGTTGATAATGACGTATCATCTTACTATTTTAAGAATAACCTTTGGGTTAGCAATTGAAAAACTGTGGCTAGAAGCTTGTAAATTTGAATATCGGCTGAACTCCTTGAATGTTCAATGCAGATCGTTCCCTACCTCGTCCCACGGTCCTATCGTTTTGTAACGAATCAAAAGCGAAATGAAATTCACTCGCAAATTTTTACACTTTTCGCCTCCTAAAAACGACAAGCTCCAACTGGAAGGCCATTTTTTTTGTAACAAAAACAATGTACTTGGTTTCTGGCGGAATCTCTATGATTCTCTGATTGGGCTTTCAATCCGTTTCTCATTTCCTAATCAACCAAATGCCACAAAGGCTTCAATAAAGTCGAGAAACCACACATAAACAACATACCATGAAATATGTGAAATTTAATGGACGTTTCTTGTCATAGTCACGGATCGCTTTTTAATACCAGTCATACTGTTACTGGCCTGAGTTTGCCACACGATGCGGCCACTTCGGGAGCCTCGGTTCCCTGTGACAAAACTTAAGCTAAAACTAATCGATTTCTATCTTATACGTTCGGGCTACCAAAAACACCTCTCTTCCTAATAACAGTCCCTGAGCAAAAAAAGTAGGTTATTCAAGCTTTTTGAACAACTAAGCAAATAACCTTACACGACTAATCATGGTCTTTTCGACATAGTCATGTCGTCACATGAACTCTGGACTTATATAAATTTGAGCACTTTCTAAGTTGGGTCGAAGAGAAGTCACCAATGGTACGTTTCCCTGACCCAAACAATACTAAAACAATTGGAAGAATGACATGTCAGTGTTTCCTGCGACCAGTCAGGAGAGACCTTACAAGCAGCTCCTACACTACTCTATAAGTTGGTTTTGAATTCATCAAAATTCATACTCGACTCCAAGGCTTACATAGGGGAGCAAAAAAAGAAATGAATTATTCAGCCCTGAATCTCAATTCTCATGTTTTATACCCCAGAGCCACGGAGCCAAGTATGACTCTTAATTCTATCCCATCAGCCTCAGTGTAGGGATTCCAAATATTTTGAACTGAGCTATCATGAACCTTGCGATTTTATTGGCCAGGACTTCCCTCGCCATTTTATCAACCAATCCAAAGTTAGAACACGCTTTCCCGCGTTAAAGGCCGGCAACGTGTTTTTGCATCAATTTCGGTATTAAAAATGTCTCAGAAAGGGGTCTGTCATGATCGACTGGAGTCGTTTTAAAAACTTAAAAGATCATCCCGTAACCATTTTCTAATCTTACGCCATGACCAACGGTAACTTCAGGTCGAATTTCGTCAATATTAGTGGGTGTTTAGAATGCGATAGTCTCAACAGCATTAACTGATCGAACGCTTCGCTGACGTTTTGAATTCTACTGTCTAATAGACCGCAAGTGGTCGTCCTTACTGCTCACAGTCTAACCGTCTATTCACTTGTTTTATCTTCAGGCTTCTCCGGTGTTTTTTCACTGATATCTTCATCGCCGTCGTCTTTTTCATCGACTTTGTCCGTCTTCTTCGCAGGTTTCGGCACGAATTGGTCCACCGCCATCGCATTCCAAGCCGCCAAGATCCAAGGCGTAGCGTGAAATGCGAAGTTAGGAAAATTTTCTGCGCAAAACAAATAGCTGAGTGAGAATGTATTAGACGGGTTTAAGGTGTTTCAACACTTTAACGAACATTTCTCTGTAATGGAAGCATTTGTTCAGGGGACCTTCGTGTAGAATGGAAGAAAGTTAACGGCCTATGCGTTTCGGGTCACGTGGTCCGAGCGTGTCTCGGATACGTCACCGAAATGCATTGACCAAGAAGGCCAATTTCTAATATAGGCAAGTTGACCCCTTTGGGAGCCCTGATGTACACGCTAGGACTGACATAAGTGGTCTTAGTGGAAAAGTGGCCGCAAAGTCTATAATGTTGTGTATTCAGTTTGCATTGAATTGCAAGAAGCCAGGAGCCGATTAAAGAAGCGTACTAACCTTTTGATCTGTCAACCACGAGAGTCTCAAATGCTGGGAAAGCTGAAATTGGGCGACGCGATAGCGCGGTCTGCTTCTCACTCGAAAGAACTGGTCTCATCATGTCATCTAACAGCTAAAAAATAACAGAATATATATGGATCACAAGAAATTTTGTGGTGCTTCAACAGGCATGGTCATCTACCTGAAATAACTTTTAATCATTCTCATTTTTTGGGCGGTTAGAGGGGGAAGTTGTTTTGAAGATGTTGTTGTTTTTTTTAAATCAAGGGCGTATTAAGAGTCTTTCAGCAACAAAAACTGAGTGTTGGACTTTTAGAGAAAGATTTTTTTGTCTTCCGAAAGCGTCCGCTAGATCAACTATGGCAGCCGGCTATCTTCGACATAGAGGCAACTATAAATATGGTCCTTAACTTAAGTACATACATATATAAATTGTAAACTTGGAGTTCTGTGTGATGTTTTCGAAATTGATTCTATGAATTACAGGATTTTCAACAAATTTGTATTTGACTATATTGGCACAAAAATGTCGATGAGTGCGCTGCAAATGCGGTGCTTATTTAGGACGGTGCTTTGGTTGAGAGAAGCTCTTAAAAATTTCGAGTGAGTTCTTTACCTAATGAAAGACACTGGCAATACTCACCTGAACTATTTCCTTATCCGACAGATCAAACGATTGCTGTGTAGATGCTGCAGATTTAAAATATCGAAAATGTATATAGTTTGTCTAACAAAGTACGTTAAAACTATCTATCCGCGCGCGTAGCATCATGAACTGAGGCCTGGAGCTAGTTGGGAAATTTGTTTATCTTATATGGAAGTAAGGCGTACTTAGTTTAGTTGCACAGTGTGAGGATTGACGCTTTTAAAAGTATTCTCTTTTTCCGTAGCTACATTCCTTGGAATTTTCCTAAAAATTTCTCCCACGGTAATAGTAAACATTTATTATTTAACTTCCCTTTTTTACACCAAAGGGTGTGGTCAGGATGTAGGGTGCGGTTTTAGCTTTGATCAGTAGTTGCTAAGTTTGCAAGTTTTCAGTCGTGTGAACTACAAAGTTGCCTGGCAAGCAGGTTTTTGTACTTCCTGCGTGTCTATCTTTTTCTTCTGATAATATGTTGTTTTAAAAACAACTACATCCGGTGATTTGGTTAGATAGTTCGAAATAAAAAAAGCGTTTCCCAGCGAAGTTGGTATACCTCAAAGTAAAATATATAAAACACGTTAGTTTTTTATTAGTAACTAAAAATATGCAAGCGAATGAAAATTTGAACGGAGAATTTATTAACTCTTTTAAATACTGCCCCCCCCACCCCCCCCCCACCCCCCTTATCTTCTAGAAGAGGGGTTTTTCATATCCGAGGAATAACATTTAAATGTAAGAAACGGAGCAAGCAATGGAAAGTTATCGAATTGTAATTTATATGACCAGAATTAAGACTGAATACGAAGACACATTTGTGTCATGTGGCGTAGTCATGCGCTTTTGGTGTGACCCCTCCAAAGTCCTCACTTTGTTTTGAAATTTGCATTTTCCTGACTGAAGCTGCGTGTTTTCCTATTTTAATAAAAATGTATAATGGTTTATAGTTTTCTAAGGACTTACCTTTTTGTCCCGTGGCCTTCCGCTCGATTTTTGAGTGATTGCTTTTCATCATGTAAATTTTATACGCCTCGTTCCCTCGGGGGCGACTTTTCTCCCTCACTTCTTTAAAATCAGGGAGCGCATTTAACGTGCATCTGAAATTCGTCTTCCACTTGCTGGGAACGGGGATATCGATTCCTTCTCTGTATTTTCCAGAATAAATAGCCCACTGTTTGAAAATTTCACTGTCGTCACTAATACACCATTGGCGGTGCAAACCGTGTTTCCAAGGAATTTTGAACAATCCACGGCTTCGGTCGATCCATTCCACACCTTCGACTTCATTGTCGTCAAGCTTCTGTTTGAGCCAGTCTCGAAAACGCAATCTCCTGGTTCCCGCCGGTTTGCAGTAGTCATGCATTTCGTTTATCATTCTTTTTAGGTGATTCTATCGAGGTGAAGTTCGACAACAGAATCTTTTCTTGGAAATGATATTTCTAAGAACAAACGGATCTCAATTTAATCGGCGTCTGTGCGCTTTCACTTAACAAATCGAAAATGAAAAACTCTGAAGAAGCACGTCTTATTAAACCTGTGTAGGATCTATGAAGACTCAGATATGATTTGCACGCATCGACAGTTGTAGATCGTTCTTAAAATGAATGTTGCCAAGTATGGCCCACCAATATACAAAGATGATCTATTTGTTTATGCCAAAGGGAAAATTCCCTTTTGCAAAGCTAAGGGGTTTTTCCCTCTTCACGTGATTGGTTTCCACGGAATAATAACTTTGTACATCCTGGGTGCAGACATCTGAGTCGCATCAACGGGAATGTTTTTCGTGTGTTAAATTTTTCTTTTCACTTATTATACTAGGAAATATCTTACGGAGCTAATTCAAAAATTACCCTTAACGGAACGCTTCACGGGGCAAAAGCTTTTAATTGCGGGCAAACAATACAGACGTCACGCAATCTTTTTCTACGAGTGTCTTGTTTTTATTTTCCTTGAGACATAAATAATTATGCCCTCCCCTAAAAAACACGTATCATTTTACTGTTATTAAAAATATTCCTTCCTGGTGTCAAAGTTCACCAAACGCCACCAGAAAACATGTAAATCCCTTATTATTTTTGTTCGCTGATCAAATTTAATACGCGTCGTTCATACAATGTCGTGTACAACTGGTTTAATACAGGTGGCTGCCTTCTGTAAATTTCATATAAAATACTTTTATATCTTTAAGCTTAAAATATACTAAATAAGGAATCAGCAATAAACACCGTAAATAGAAAGAAAAGGCAGAATCGACAACAGTAGATCAACTGAAATACTCGTAACGCGAAATAACGCGAATATATCAATGTAAGTGGAAAGGGGAATCCCCCGTTTCTGACACCTCCTCGCTTCTATTAATTTCAATGTAAATTATTCTGGTCACATCGAAGGTTCTACACTTATTTATTGCCTTATGAGCATATTTCTTCAGTTTTATTTTACTTTTTTATCTTTATTTTCTGGCGTGTCCTGAAGCAATGATCTTTAACCCCACTTAATTTTTAGGCTGATTAAACCGGCCTTTAAAACCCTGGAGAAAAAGAGTTTTCGGAAATCAAATATATTGGCCAAGAAACTTTTGGAAAAAAAGAAAGAAAAAGAAAATAAAAAATGAGTAATGTAGTTATTGAAATGCAAATTTCTGAGCTGTTTGCATTGTGTCAAAGTGGACTGGGCCTCCAGAAGGCATCAGTCGACATAAAATATTTTTAGAATAATCATTAAAGCCCTCATATTGACGAATTTTCGAGCTTTCAATTTAATTTCGTATGCATTCTTTGCGAACAGGGTGTACATACACCGTCAATTAACCAAATCAAATTGTTGTAAAAATGGTTGATTAGCCTGGACTATTTTCCCAAAGGAAAGTAACATGTTGATTATTATTAGGAAGCGAAATCCCCGAGTGAGTTTCTGGCTCTATCTCCAGTTTGCATCTCTCTGCAGAGACCAATATTTCCATATTCCCATTTGATCAGGAATTAGAGAACCAAAGGTTTTCTATCAATCATAATATCACGGATAAACGAAGAACGACAAAAAATGCTCGCAACGACATAAAATCGACAGCTGGAGACAGGTGTGGCCTTGTATTAACTTATGCGAGATGACAAGATTCGTTAAAAAATTTCGGGGAATCCCCCGTTTCTTGCGTTAATCTTATGCAACTTGAAAATAATATGAAACTAATGCTTCTACGTCTAAAAAACATTTTACAATCTTATATCTCCTATTCAACTACCTCGTAAAGAAGACCAGTTTCACTCACTATTCGACACAGCAATAATTAAAACAAATGTTCATGTTTTTTTAATATTGTTTTTCACTTTTCTCGAAGTTGTGAAAGTTTGAAAATTGCTTTTTGAGCCCCTCAGCCACGTCGTAAGCTCTTTTCACTCGTAACGAATGAGCGCATGCTGTGACTCAAATTAATAGTCAGAATATTGGCTGCGGTCGTAGCTAAAGTTTAACTTAAGTTAGTGTCAAGCTACGTGATGTCTTACCTAACAGTGGTTAGTGCTTTCGGTCGACATCGTGGTCACACCACGCAGTTAATAACAGTTAGTTCTAATTAGCCTATGTCAATTTTTTGTTGGTTGGTTTTGGTTTCCCCCTCGCTTCACGCTTGGTTTTTATTTTGCGTATTTATATATGCTCATCTCACACGTGCGAAAAGAAGTGTCACATTCTGATTGGTTGGTCGGTTGTTAACTTGAGACCAACCCACGAACCCTGCTTGGGTATAACTATAGCTAGTCTGTATTGCTTTGGATCACCGAGGCGTAAGTTTTCTAACTATAGTTAGAGCGAACAGAGAAGCGGTCATATTACCGAAATAGCTAACTATAGTTTTCCCCGTCTTAACCATAGTTAGGAGCCCAGATAGTGACCGCAGCCATTGTGATAGAGTGATTTTACTTGAACCGTGAAACAGATACTAACAAATAGTGCAAAATAGCGAAAAGTAAACAAAAGAACACAATAGATTAGTGCGTAATAGTGCGTAGTATCCTACGACCTATTTCACGGTTCAAGTAATAGGCCTTTTTACCGATACCGCGGCCATATTGAATTACTTAGATTTAAGGAGTATTACGGGATGCCCAGGGGGCATGAGCACGATCCGATATACTCGCTCAGTATTTACCTGTGCTTTCCGGACCAATTTTTTTCTTTAAGTTTTCCTAGAAAAAGATTGTAATAGGAAAAAAGATCGTTGTGCTTTGTTTGGATGTAATACCGTAAACGATCTAATAAACGCCCACTCTCAAATAAACGCCTCTTATCTAATTAACGACCCCCCCCCCCCCCCCAAACCCCTCAAATTTACTTAAAAAACACCCCCACACAAAAAAACCCCCCTCCAAAAAAACAACCCACAAACATAAAAAAAACAAAATAACAAAAAAAAATAAAATTATATATTCATTTATTTTTTTTAAACACAGTTCACTAATGTATTATATTTAATCTTATATTTATGCATTGAACCAACANCAATAATGACAAACGTTATTATGTAACATCTAGTATCGAGAGGGATGTTGATCGCTTGATTGAAGATTTAGACAAAGCATTTGCTAAGTACCGGGGTGCTTACCACATTGGTTCAAGATCTAAAACTTCTGAGGCCAGAAAGAGAAAGGAGCAGAGAAAAAAAAATCAAAGAATAGGAGATTGAACGCTTCAAATAACAGACGAAAAAGAGCTTGCATTATATTTAGATCCTTGGAAGGAGAGCCTGTTGAACTTTGTTATGAACCAGATATATATGGAATTCAGCAAATCGATTCAGTCGATGAAGAAACATTACTTTTATTCACATCAAAAACCGACAAAGCTTGTTTACGAGATCTGTTTGATTCCCATTGTCTTATGGGGTTAGCTGAAAAACAAGTTCATGATTTTTGCTTTACATAGGATCAGCTCAATTAATTAGAAGACGGGTTAAAATTGATCAATTGTGAATTTGCTTTTCATTTTGATGGAATATTTTCAATAATCGTTTAACAGCTGTTCGTATTGATATTTGTTCCAGTCTATCATGATGCCTGTATTGAGAATCTTTTATTGCGTTTAATTTGATTTACATTTCGAATAAAACTTACGGCCCCCTCTCCGTCAAATGAGTGATTTTACTTTGAGCCCCCCCTATCTTGGCAGCAATTTTATGTAATACCCCTCCTCTAGTTTTTCAGCCCCCCCCCCCACCTCCTGATAATTATTGCACAGTCCCTTATGTAATGTTCAATTTCTAGATAAGTCGTCAGGCCCGCAGTCGAGATTCTGTTAACACAAAAACGTTTTAGCCGAAAGCATACTGTATACAGTTACGTTGAGTTTGTTAAAATATGTTACGGGAATAAACGCCTCCCATCTATTAAACGCCCCCTCTTGGACCCCTAAAATTAAATAAACGCCCTGGGCGTTTATTAGGTCATTTACGGTAATCATCGCGTTTTTCCCGAGAAATATACAGTGAAGTTCTATTTTTGCTGGAATAGCGCGCGTTAATACTGAGCGAGTGCCCCTGGGCATCCCATAATACTCCTTAAATCTAATAAATTCAATATGGCCGCCGTATCGGTAAAAAGGACTATTAAAATCACTCTAAACAAATCGTGGTTAGTAGAGGTCGTGGAGCGGCTATAACAACGAAATTCCAAAATGAGACTAAATAAGATCAGAAGCAATGAAAAAGTTTATCCATGCATGTTATTGGGACATTTTGTTGAGGTGTCTAAATTCCCCTGTTTTTATCCTCACGGACTAAATGTTCTTATCTATTAATTTTCCTTTCTCTCACGGGCTACAATAACATTACACTCGGTGATATTCTTTTGCTTTATGTTTTTTATTGTTTTTTTTACTTCACTTATTTGTGTTTATAAAGAATCAAGGGGTTTTCCACCCAAAATGATGTTTAATAATAAATTTTCCGGCTCAATAGTAACTCTAACAACACACTTACTGTCGTTATTAAACTAATCTGTTACTTCTTTTAGAAATGTTACTACTTATGTAATTTTATACTTTTTAAACTTATATGAAGTCAAACTTATTTTCCAAATTTTTAAGACACAAAATACAATCTAATTTTCCTGTTGAAACGCTATTTTATGAAAACGATATTTGTTCTTCATGTAATTAAATACAACATTAGAGGCTCATCTGATCAGTAAGCAACACACGCTTGCGACAATGATGTTGGTGATTACAGTTTACAAGTGGTGGCCCAAGATTAAACCATCACAGACGACGTTATTGGAAAAGAAATGGAGCGAGATCTTGCAACCAAGATGCAATAAAAAAAACCTCTTTTCTTTCGGCTGCCGTGAAGAGGAAACTATTCATTTGTAAACTATACAACCTTATTGACTAGAAATGGACGTCTTGCTTCCCTGTTTCAGGGTTTACGTAAAGACTAAGTTTAAACGGGTAAATTTTAAATATCTACATCTTCAGTTTTAACTAGTCTACTACGACGTACGAACTGTTGCATTATAATTGTTAACCTTACTGTTTATATGGGTAACAATTGGTTAACTTGACGTAACAGACGTTTTTCTCCCTTGAGTTTCTTTTGCTACCAAGTTCTTGTTTCAGTTATTTTTGACGTTTCTAACCAGCCTATGTACATACGAGTCTTTTTCACAAGAACAATATTTACCCTCGTTTACAAGCTTATCATTTCTGGAGAGCGTTAACGATGGTCATTACATCATTTTCGTGTGTAGGCAACTAAGACGTAAACGGAAACGTCTAGACTAGTGTGGACACGGCCTTGGGCCATCCAGCGACGGCGGATAAAACTCCTGCGGCCAATCTGCCCAGACAACTGTGCCAGTGACCCTGGATGATGCCAAAATTCATGTCCACAATGTTCTTTCTCTCTGTCGACACAGCGTTGTCCTTAGAACCATTTAATTTAACCGCTATATCGTTACTTTAGTGAAAAGGAGAAATGCTTTGAATGTTACTGAAAGTGACCTTTGTAAAGGACGGTGAAAGGTTACTCAGCATCTGCCAATCACACTTAAAATCTCTCTAATAGAGTCAGCTGTAAGAGGAAGCGAAGTCGCATACTTGTTCCCATATCCGGACGAGTCTTCTGTCTTTATGACCAGCCGCAGTGGAGGCCTCATAGTAGCTTTGGGTTGACTCTCTGTAAAATCTACAACAGAAGCAAAACAAAAGATCAGAGACGTTTAAGTATTTAAATACTGAAAAAAGGAAAAACTCGTCATCATAAAAAAGTGAGCTATATCTACGCAGGTGAAAGATCGATAAAATATCGTAGGCCCAGTTGGGTTAATCTTTAATCGTAATCGTAACCGAGGCGTTCAACTCAAACCTTCGGTCGCTAAAATTAAAACGTAAAAATTGTTAGTCGTAAATATATGTTTCGTGCCACAATTTGTCAGTTATTTAAAACTCTTTAATTATCTTGTCACATGACTTAGACATTATAGACCTTAAATTTGTTAAACTTCACAACAATTGAAACTAATTTTTAAGCTTTTATTTCCTTTTCATTTTTATGTCATGACCCCTTGTGCAGATCTTTCTTTTTCTGTGGGTACCATGATTACACGGTTCTTGGAAAATACATGGCTAGATATCCTACCTTCTCCACTAGCTACCTCTATCCCGTCAAAGTCCTCATAAGGACGAATTGCTCTGTTCTGACATTTGTTCCACAAGCTATAAACAACAAAACAATTAAATGTCAAGCAAAGTAGAACAATAAAACATTAAAACAAAAACGGAGCTATCATGCTTTACGGATTCCATTTTTAATTTTTGCCTAGTTGTAGTTTTTTAACTGAGACATACGACACGTAGTGATTACTGAATGTAGTTTATTGTAAGCACGTCTCTAGCCGTTTAGTTCGGCTGAAACTTCCTGTTTAAACTGGAAGACTTACGTCAATGATCTCTTGGTCGCCAGTGACTTCATCTTCTGCAAAGGATAGAGGAAAAACACTCTTTTATTCCTATGAGATGATTAAAAGCCTTTTGAAATGTACTGCAGGTTACTCTTACAAAAGTTATTTTGAACATTGTTAGAAAAAAAATAGGAAGAAAGTTGTAAATCCGTATAATTCGCTTTCCTATGGTTGCTGATCATCATGATCTATCAGTAGTGTCCTAAACTCAAACTTCCTTGGGTGGTTCTTAGGAAACACATCAGGACTTCCGTTTCAGAACTTCTTTCTTTCGATTGTTTTTCCAGGTTTGGAGCTAAACTTTGGAACGCAATGCCCAACGGATTTCGTCAACTCTCCAAAGGAATTTGTAAAAAACATTTTTATGACTTATTGCTCTCGATAATGGAAGCAGAGGATGGAATGCAGAGGTTGATTAGGTTGAAGTGCCCATTCTGCTAAAAAAAATCGCAAATTCTGCAACCACGACTTAATGCACAAATAATTGATAGGTTATTTCACTCTAGTGCAGTTGTCTTATAGTTCCATTCCGTAAGACTATTTTATATTGAACTCTAGCTTGTTTTTCTGTAATTCTTATTTATCGGCATAGTTTATTTAGTTTGCTTTAATATAATCTTCATAGTGTCTTTTAATTTATTATTTATGATCGACTGCTGTAACCTTTCCACTACCACCCGCCTCGTCTAGCTCTTGCTATTTGCGGGCCGAGATAGGAAAACGATGAGTATAAAAATAACATTGTATAAATAGATAATAGATGTGAATAAGAGCCAGTGAAGCGAAGGGTCTCCCTTGTACCTGCAAATATTACTTTTTGGCCACGGGAAACGGCAGATATTTTAAACTGTCCTCAAAAACAAAGGGCTGTACAAAATGGATCAATTAATTCCTTCATCTCCTTCAAGCACAAGTGTACCCGAGATCCACCCTTTGTAACTGGCTGCTTAGCCTGAGCCAGTTGGAAAATGGCAGTGATAAATGAAACGCCCTCATAAATGCGCAAGGTCAACATTAACCCAGTCAGAACGGTTGTACCACTTTCGCCACAAAAATACAAAACTATGTTGCTCCCTATGTAGCAGTTGTCACGGCAAAAGGAGGGATGATGACACTTATCCCGCTCCAGTCGTAAGACTTGCATAATTCTAATTTAAATGAAAAGGCTTGGGGTTGACCGATGCAAGCAACACTCTTGACCGAGTGGCAGTGGAACTTTTTACAAGAGTAGGGTAGCTTTAATAGGAGCTACAATATCGTGCAAGCAACGCTAAAGAGCTGGGACCAGCATGTCAAATCTCCTACTCACTATTAAAATAACAATTCTGAAAACTATGAAAAGAAACCCGTAAGGTTGTTGAACCGCTTTTATAAATACATATTATAACTTTGCTAAAAAACAAAAACAAAAACGAAAAAGTGAACCTCTGTGGCCTGTGAGTGAGGGAGGAGGTGAGAGCGCACCCGTCGCACCGCCCCCCCCCCCCCCCCCCCCCCCCCCCCCCCCCCCCATTTATTTTCTTCTTTTTTTTTTTTTTTTTTGGTTTTTTTTTTTTTTTTTTTTTTTTTCCCCCCCCCCTCTACTCACAACATTTTTTTTTTTTTTTTTTTTTTTTGCCTAACAACAAAAAAAAAAAAAAAATATAAAACAAAAAAAAAAAAAAAAACAAAAAACATAACAATTTAAAACAAGTCATCGGATGAAAGAACATAGACTGAATCAAGGGTTAGAATCAAGAAAAACTTTAAATAAAAAGACATAAAAGGAAAGTGATGTTGCTACGATGTGTTAATAAGCATGTGTTCAGAGAGCAAAATAGAGGGACCTTGATTCAGTCCTGAGGGGGGGGGGGGGGGGGGGGGCCCCCCCCCCCCCCCCCCCCCCCCCCCCCATTCCTCCCTACAGGCCTGTAATATGCTACCTTCTTGGTTGCTTGGTTGCTTGGTTCCTTCTCTGGTTGCTTCTATCCCATCCACGTCTACATCAGACGAATTGTTCTGTTCTGACATTTGGTCCACAAGCTATAAACAGTAAAACAATTTAATGTCAAGCAAAACAAAACAATAAAACATTACAACAAAAACAACGGTATAAATCATGCTTTATAGATTCCATTTTATTTAAAATTTGCCTAGTTGTAGTTTTTTTTAACTGAGACGTAATAATAATAATAATAATAATAATAATAATAATAATAATAATTTATCCAGGAGCCCACACGCCTTAGCGGTTTTCAGTGAGGGCACTGCAAATTATAAATGACAAACTGATAAAAAAAAATCTCCCACTTTAAAAATTAAAAACTGAAAAAAGAGCTAAAAACTGATATTTACACATAAAACTTATTTTCATAGTTTAACAATTAGATAGGCCATTATTTACAAAGTTTTAAGCTTTGCCTTAAAGAAGGACAATGATTTGCTGTTTTTAATGTCATTGTTTAGGTTGTGCCAGGCCTTAGACGGTGAAAAATGAAACTTTGCTTGCCCCAATTGGTGCGCACGCGCGGAAGGTGTAAGAGAGATTACTAGAGATTACTGCATGTAGCTAGTTTATTGTAAGCACGTCTCTAGCCGTTTAGTTCGGCCGAAACTCATTTAAACTAGAAAACTTACGTCAATGATCTCTTGGTCGCTAGGAACTTCATCTTCTGCAAAGGATAGAGCAAGTTTATATTGCTATGAGATAAAGGCTTTTGAAATGTACTGCATGTTACTCTTACAAAAGTTATTTTGAACATTGACTAGAACCATAAGTCAGAAAATTTACTTCCAGTCTCATGCTAATAAAAGTACTGTTAGGAACAGGCCTGTAGGTGACCAAAAAAGGGGAACAAGTATGTTACGCCTAGTCGGCGAATTCTAATTTTTAAAAAAGTGTTTTTCAGTTGTGCTTTTCTTTGAGATTCCTTGAAATGAACCAATTATTTTCCGGCAAATAAAATAAGATTCTATAAAAATTCGTAAAATTCTGAAAATAAGCCCCTCCAAGCATAAGCCCCTCCAAATATAAGCCCCTGAGGGGTTGTACTTGGAAATTACCCTCAAATACAAAGTAAAATAAAGCAATAACGGTACAGTAACATATAAACTTTTGGGATTTGCCAAAGAAAATATTACGTGTGCCAAATGATTGCAGTCAGAAAGTCTGGAAAGTGTTATAACAGCTTATTGCTGTTTGCGTAGTTCACAGTACTCTCCACTCGCGGCTTGAATTTCCTCGGTCCATATAGACAAAGTACTTGCATGGCTGCGTTTTAGAAAGGTCTACTTCCTCAAGGCGAGTTTCAGTAAAACCTTTCTACAAATTACTGACATAAATTTCCTTCCAACTATAAGCTAGTCCAATCGATTTTGAGACGCAAATTTCCCTCCAAGTCATGATAAGCCTAGCCGATTTTGAAACGCAATTTTCCCTCCGTATGTAAGCCCCTCCGAATATAAGCCCCTTCAAAAGTAAGCCCCTCAAAAAGGGCCTTTGAACTGAAAATATAAGCCCCGGGGCTTATTTTCGGAATTTTACGGTATTTGCTTCTAAAAAGATTGAAATTAAGAAGCGCTCACCTTCCTTGACAATAAATTTGTCAACTTCTGGGGAACTCTGAAAGATCAAAAGTATTTGCATCAATTTCTGACCGGTACGTTATTTAAAATGTCTCAGAGAGGGGTCTGTCATGATCGGCCGTAGTCATTTTAAAAACTTCAAGGATCCCATAAATATTTTCTAATCTTAAGCCATGACCAACGATTACGGCTTTATGTCGAATTTTGTCTACATTAGTGGGAGTTTAGAATGCGACAGTCCCGACAGCAGTAATTCATCGGACCCTGCTTCACTGACTTTCTGAACTCTACTGTCTATTAGAGGGCAAGTGGTTGTCCTTACTGCTCGAAGTCTAGCTGTCCAATCACATGTTTTATCTTCAGGCTTCTCTGGTTTTTTTCCACTGGAATCTTCATCCCCGTCGTCTTTTTCATCGCTTTTGTCGTTCTCCTTCTTTGGTTTCGGAACGAACTTGTCCACCGCCATCGCATTCCAAGCCGCCAAGATCCAAGGCGTAGCGTGAAATGCGTGAAATGAATCTTCATCCCCGTCGTCTTTTTCATCGCCTTTGTCGTTCTCCTTCTTTGGTTTCGGAACGAACTTGTCCACCGCCATCGCATTCCAAGCCGCCAAGAGCCAAGGCGTAGCGTGAAATGCGACGTGAGGGAAATTTTCTATAAAAAGCAAGCAGTAAACCTCTGTAAGACGGGTTTAAAGCGTTTCAACACAAAAACGAACATTTCTCTGTAATGGAGGAAGCATCTGTTCTGGGGACCTTTTCGTGGATTGGAAAAAAGGTAACGGCTCACGCGTTTCGGGTCACGTGATCTGAGCGAGTTTTTGACCCTTCGTCTCGGATACGGCTCCGAAGTGCATTGACCGAGAAGGCCTGGGAAGAAGCCGTAGGCAAGTTGACCCCACTGGGACCCCTGATGTACACGCCAGGACAAACGTCAGTGGCCTTAGTGGAAAAGCGGCCGCAAGATGTATAATGTATTTTATATTTGGAAGAAGCATACTAACCTTTTGATCTGTCTACCACGAGAGTTTCAAATGCCGGGAAAGCTGAAATTGGGCGACGCGATAGCGCAGCCTGCTTCTCAGTCGAGTGAACGGAACTCCTCATGTCATCTAACAGCTAAAAAAATAACAGAATATGGGTCACAAGAAAATTTGTGGTGCTTCAACAGGCATGGTCATCTACCTGAAATAACACAATATTTTATTGTTGAAAAAGTCGAAAAAACGTGTACTTTCACTCAAAAATGGCTTGACCACCTGCTACTTATGACATCATATCTCGTAACCATAGAAACTGACCATCACTGAACTTGACTCACAATTCGCGCGAGGGATGAAAGAACAGCTACTGAAAATATCAGGTGCTGACGTTTTATCCTCTAGGAAAAAGCTCAGAAAAACCTTAGGGGGGTGGAATCCTCACCCCCCCCCCCCTTGTACGTCCGAGGGTTAACTCAACAACAATTATGCTCTCTCAATCTTTAATACATTACATTATAAATTATAAACTTGGAGTTCTATCAGATGATAATTTTGAAATTGATTCTATGAATTACAGGATTTTCAACAAATTTGTATTATATTGGCACAAAAATGTCGATAAGTGGGCTGCAAATGCGGCGCTTATTTAGGACGGTGCTTTGGTCGAGACAAGCTCTTTTTCGAGTGAGTTCAGTATTTAAATGGAAGACACCAGCAATACTTACCTGAACTATTTCCTTATCCGTCAGCAGATCAAGCGATTGCTGTGTAGATGCTGCAGATTTAAAAGATCGAAAGTGCTTATAGTTTGTCTAGTAAAGTACATAAAAAAGTATATGCATGAATGTTCTATCCCGCGCGTAGTATCATAAACCAAACCTCTGAGCTAGTTCGGAAATTTGTGTAACTGATTTGGAAGCAAGGCGTATTGGGTTTAGTTGCATGTTGTGAGGTTTGACGCTTTTAAAAGTATTCTCTCTTCCGTAGCTTCTTTCCAGAGAACTTTCCTTAAAATGGTAATAATTTATTATTTAATTTCCCTGTTTTACGCCAAAGGGTGTGGTCAGGATGTAGGGTGCGGCTTTAGCTTTGATCAGTAGTTGCTATGTTTCCAAGTTTTCAATCGTGTGAACCACAAAGTTGCTTGGCAAGCAGGTTTTTGTACTTCCCGCGAGTCTATCTCTTTTTTTCTAATAGCTTGTTGTTTTTACAACAACCACATCCGTCTATTTTGGGCAGAAGGTTAGAAGAAATAAAATAAATAAATTTAAGTTTTTTCTTTAGATAGTATCTAAAAATATGCAAGTGAAAAACTAAGTCTCCCCTTCAGTTTCTAGAACAGGAGTATTTCTGACGCGGGGTGGGGGGGGGGGGGTCTTTTAAAAACGAGAAACGGAGTAAGCTATGGATAGTTTTCGAATTGTTTTTATATGACCAGAATGAAGACTGAACTCTAAACTGGAGTAATGCGTCAAAACACATTTGAATGTTTTGTAGTCATGTGATTTTGAAGTGACTCCTCCAAGGTCCGCGCTCTCGGGTGTGAAATTTGCATTTTTCTGACTGAAGCTGTGTGGTGTGTTTTAAAATTCTACGAAAATATAGCCTCTACTTTTCTAAGGACTTACGTTTTTCTCCAGTGGTCTTCCGCTCGTGTTTTGAGTCGTTGCTTTTCATCATGTAAATTTTATACGCCTCGTTTCCTCTCGGGCAACTTTTCTCCCTAACTTCGCGAAAATCAGGGAGCGCATTTAACGTGCATCTAAAATTCGTCTTCCACTTGCTGGGATTAGGGCGATCGATTCCTTCCGTGTATTTTCCAGAATAAATAGCCCACTGTTTGAAAATTTCACAGTCGTAACGAACACACCATAGGCGGTGCGATCCGTGTTTCCAAGGAATTTTGAACAATCCACGGCTTCGGTCGATCCATTCCGCACCTTCTTTGTTGTCAAGCTTCTGCTTGAGCCAGTCTCGAAAACGCAATCTCCTGGTTCCCGCCGGTTTGCAGTAGTCGTGCATTTCGTTTATCATTTGTTTTAGGTGATTCTATCGAGGTGAAATTCGTTCCTTGGAAATGATCTTTCTAAGAAAAAACGGATCTCAATTTAATCGGCGTCTGTGCGCTTTCACTCAACCAATCGAAAATGAAAACTCGGAAAAAGCCTGTCTTAAACCTGTGTAAGGATCTATAAAGACTCAGATATGATTTGCACGCATCGACAGTTGTAGATCGTTCTTAAAATGAATGTTTCCAAGTATGGTCCACCCGATATACAGTCTTCATATGATCTATTTGTTTTTTTTGCTAAAAGGGAAAATTCCCTTTGCCAAGGGGTTTTTCCCTCTCCACTTCATTGGTTTATCCACGGAACAATAACATCCTGGGTGCAGGTATCAGTCGCATCGACTGGAATGTTTTTCGTGTGTTAAATTTTTCTTTTCAATTATTATTACTTTAAGTAGGAAATATCTTATGGGGCTAATTCAAAAATTACCCTTTACGGAATGTTTCACTGGGCAAAATCTTTTAATTGCAGGCAAATAATACAGACGTGACACAATCTTACCACGAGTGCGTTGTTTTTGTTTTACTTCAGACATAAACAATCATGCCGTCCCCTAATAAAACACGTATCATTTTGCTGTTATTAAAAATATTCCTTCCTGGTGTCAAAGTTCATCAAATGCGGCCAGAAAATATGTAAATCCCTTATTATTTTTGTTCCCTGATTAAATTTAATACGCGTCGTTCAAGCATTTGCTTCAAATGCAATGGCGTGTACAGCTGGTTTAATACAGGTGGCTGCCTTCAGTGCATTTCGTATAAAATACTTTCATATCTTTAAGCTTAAAATATACTGAATATAAGGAATCAGTTATAAACACCGTAAATGGAAATAAACAGCAGAATCGGTAATAGTAGACTGAGTAGATCAACTGAAATACTCGGTAACGCGAAATAACGCGAACTTGTCAAAGACTGGAAAGGGGAATCCCCTGTTTCTGACGCCTCCTTGCTTTTATTAGTTACAATGTGAATTATTCTGGTACATCACTTATTTATTGCCTTATGAGCATATTTCTCCAGCTTTATTTTACCTTTTTCCCCTTATTTTCTGGCGTGTCCTAAAACAATGATCTTTAATCCCACTTAATTTTCAGGCTGATTAAACCGGCCTTTAAAACGCTGGAGAAAAATAGTTTTCCGGCGGAAATCAAATAAATTGGCCAAGAAACTGTTCGAAAAAAGAAAGAAACAGAAAATAGAAAATGAGTAATGTAATCATTGAAATGTAAATTAATTTTTGAGTTGTTTGCGTTGCTCTAAAGTCGACCGGGCCTCCAGGGGGCCTCAGTAGACATAACATATTTTTAGAATAATCATTAAAGCCCTGATATTGACGAATTTTCGAGAATTTTCAATTTAATTTCGTATGCATTCTTTGTGAACAGGGTGTACATACACCGTCAATTAACTAACTCAAAGTATTGTAAAAACGATTGATTAGCCTGGACTATTTTCCCAAAGGAAAGTAACATTTTGATTATTTAGGAAGCGAAATTCCCAAGTGAGTTTGTGGCTCCTACTCCATTATATCCAGTTTTCATCTCTCTACAGAGACTAATATTTTCATATTCCAGTTTGATCAGGAATTAGAGCACCAAACGTTTTTCTATCAATCTTAACATCACCGATAAAGTAAGAACGACAAAAAATGCTCGCAACGACATAAAATCGGCAGCTGGAGACAGGTGTGGCCATGTGTTAACTTATGCGAGATGACAAGATTTGTTAAAAAAATTCGGGGAATCCCCCGTTTCTCGCCTTAATCTTATGCAACCTGAAAATAATATGAAACTAAGACCCTGTTTACATGGAGTGGGGGACCCCGGTCTAGTGGGCTAGGTTTCTTTTGTTTTGTGTCCCCCAGAGCGTGAAAACAAAAGAAACCAACCCCACTACTACCGGGGTCCCCCACTCCATGTAAACAGGCCCTAATGCTCATCAAGGTTTAAAAAACATATGTTGAAATTCTTTTATCTCCTATTAGCAATTCCCTCGTAAAAAAGCCCAGTTTCAGACGGCTTCTCGACACAGCAATAATTTGTTCATGTTTTTTAATATTGTTTTTCACCTCTTAGTCTCGTAGTTGTGAAAGTTTGAAAATTGCTTTTTGAGCCCCTCAGCCACGTAGTAAGCTTCTTCAACTCGGAACGAATGAGCGCGTGCTGTGACTCAAATTAATAGTCAGAATATTGTGATAGAGTGATTTTACTTGAACCGTGAAACAGATACTGAATAGTGCAAAACAGCGAGAGGTTAACAAAAGAAGACAACAGAATTAGAGCGTAATAGTGCGTAGTATTCTACGACCTATTTCACGGTTCAAGTAATTAAAATCACTTTAAACAAATCGTGGCTAGTAGAGGTCGTAGAGTGGCTATAACAACGAAATTCCAAAATTAGACTACATAAGATTAGAAACGATGAAAAGGTTTATCCATGCACAATATTCCGACATTTTGGTGTCTAAATTAGGTCACGTTGTCATGGTAGTAATCTTTATGGATGACAGCAAACCGGTAAAGTCATTTAAAACTCTATTCGCACCATTTCAAACTTCACCGATCTTATTCAGTTTCATTTAATTTGGCAAATCTTGGCGAAATTTTCTTTGGGACTGTATCTATCAGTATCGTTATCTATGTTTAGAAAAATAAAGCGACCATTTTTTGTTGTTTTCGCCTAGTCCATAAAGCGGGCTCGTGAAATTAGGAAGTTTCATGTCGTAGTGTCGCGTGATGCACGTGCTAAGGTGTTGTTTGCTAATATAAACATTATTTTTGCCTTTCTCCTTGCCGTCGCCGTTGTCGTTGGTTTTGTTGTCATCCAGAAATAGTGCTACCATGGTAACGTGACGTCAAACTTCTCTCTATTCCCCTGTTTTTATCATCACGGACTAAATGTTCTTATCTATTAATTTTCGTTTCTCTCACGGGCTACGACAACATTACACTCGGTAATATATTTTTTTGCGTTATGTATTTTATTGTTTTTTTTCATTTATTTGTTTTTATAAAGAATTAAGGGGTTTTCCACCAAAAATAATGTTTAATAATAAATTGTGTGGCTCAATAGTAACTCTAACAACACACTGTCGTTATTAAACTAATCTGACTAACTGTTACTTCTTTTAGAAATGTTACTACTCATGAAATTTACTCTTTTAAAACTTGTATGAAGTCAAAGTTACTTTACAAAACTGTTAAGAAACAAAATGCAATCTAATTTTCCTAATGAAACGCTATTTTATGAAAGCGATATTTGTTCGTCATGTAATTATATACAACATTAGAGGCTCAACTGCTCAGTAAGCAACACACGCTTGCGACAATGATGTTGGTGATTACAGTTTACAAGTGGTGGCCCAAGATTAAACCGTGACCACGTTATTTGGAAAAGAAATTGTGGGAGAACTGGAGACCAAGCTGCAAAGAAAACCTCTTTTCTTTAAGTTGCCTTGAAAAAGAATGGGAAACTATTTACTGTTAAACTACTTAACGGACGTCTTGCTTCCCTTACTGCAGGGCTTAAGTAGAGACTAAGTAAACTAAGTATAAACGGGTAAATCTTAACTATCTACATCTTTTTACTCATGAGTCTATTACCACGTATGACCTGTTACATTATTATTGTTAACCTTACTGTTTACAGTATATGGGTAACAATTGGTTAAGTTGACGTAACAGAATTTTTGTCCGTTGACTTCTTTCTTGTTGCAAATTTCTTGCCTCGGTCATTTTTGACGTTTCTAACAAACCTATGTCCATACGAGTCTTTTTTCACGAGAACAATATTTACCCGCGTTTACAAGCTTATCATTTCTGGAGAGCGTTAACGATGATCGTTGCAACATTTTCGTGTGAACACAACTAAGACGTAAAAGCAAACGTCTGGACTAGTGTGGACACGGCCTTGGGCCATCCAGCGACGGCGGTAAAAACTCCTGTGGTCAGTCTGCCCAGACAACTGTGCCAGTGACCCGGGATGATGTCAAAATTCATGTCCATAATGTTCCTTCTCTCCGTCGACACAGCGTTGTCCTTAGAACAATTTAATTGAACCGCCATATCTTTTACTTTAGCGAAAAGAAGAAATGCTTTGATAACTCAAAAGATTTGTTACTGAAAGTGGCCATTGTAAAGGACGGTGAAAGATTACTCAGCACCTGCTGATCACACTTAAAATCTCCCTAGTAGAGTCAGGTGTAAGAGGAAGCGAAGTCGCATACTCGTTCCCATAACCGGAAGAGTCTTCGGTCTTTATGACCAGCCGCAGTGGAGGCCTCATAGTAGCTTTGGGTGGACTCTCTGTAAAATCTATACAACAGAAGCAAAACAAAAGATCAGGGACGTTTCACTATTTAAATACTGAAAAAAGGAAAAACTCGTCATCATAAAAAAGTAAGCTATATCTACGCAGGTGAAAGATCGATAGGATCTCGTAGGCCCAGTTGGGTTAATCTGTAATCGTAATCGTAACCGAGGCGTTCAACTTAAACTTTCGGTCGCTAAACGTAAAATTGTTAGTCGCAAATAGCTGTTTCGTGCCACAATTTGTCAGTTACTTAAAACTTTTTAATGATCCTTTCACATGACTAAGACCTTAAATTTGGTTAACCTCATAACAGTTGAAACTAATTTAAAACTTTTATTTCCATTTCATTTTTATGTCATGACCCCCTGTGCTGATCTTTCTTTTTCTGTTGGTACCACGGTTACACGGTTCCGGCTAGAAAATAAATTGTTCAATATCCTACCTTCTTCACTGGCTGCTTCTAGCGCGTCCAAGTCTTCATAAGACGAATTGCTTTGTTCTGACATTTGGTCCACAAGCTATAAATAATAAGACGATTCAATGTCAAGAAAAAAAAAACAATAAAACATTAAAACAAAAACGAAGGTATCATGCTTTACGGATTCCATTTTGTTTTTAGCCTAGTTGTAGTTTTTTTTTAACTGAGACGTACGTAGAGATTACTGAATGTAGTTTATCAGGTAAACACGTTTCTAGTTCTGATTTGAGCCGACACTCATTTAACTGTAAAACTTACGTCAATGATTTCTTGGTCGCTGGGAACTTCATCCTCTACAAAGGATAAGAGAAAAAACCTTTTTATCAAGTTATTCTTATGAGATAAAGCCTTTTGACATGTATACTCAGTGCCGTAGCCAGACCAAACGGCCAACCGAGGCGGGCGGGAGTTGCTAGGGGGGTTCGGGGGCATGCCCCCCCCCCCCGCCCCCCCGAGAAATTTTGAACTTTAGTCTCTCGGAAATGCGATTTGCAGCGTTTTCTGGGCCTTTCGGTAACCTTTTTTTCGAGTTAATTTAAGTGGAATTTAAAAAGCAATAATCAGAAACAAGCTACATAATCTGGGTGACCGTTAACCTCGCCAATGGTTTTGATCAGTATTTGTTCAAAAAAAATTTGAGTTAACGTACGTAGCCCCTTGAGATCGATGATATGGTAATTTTTTCATAGTATATTGACTGAATTGTTGAATTCTTTGTAATATCATGATGCGTTAAAAATATCCGATGATCTCTTATGTAAAATAAAAATGATCGGCGAAATTCGTCAAAATTTTACCGAGGCGAGTGCCTCGGTTGGCCTCATACTAGCTACAGCGCTGATACTGCATGTTACTCTTACAAAAGTTATTTTGAACATTGACTAAAACCAACATTACTTCCAGTTTCATCTAAATAAAAGCACTATAAGGAACAGGTCGGGAGGTGACCGCAATAAGGGAACAAGAATATTAAGCTGAGTCTGCGATTTCTAATTTTTAAAATCAAAGTGTTTTTTAATTGTGAGATTGCATAAAGTAATTCCATTATGTAAGAGAGCTATAATATTTGCTTCTAAGAACACTTAAATTAAAAAACGCTCACCTTCCTTGACAATAACTTTGGCAACTTCTGGGGAACTCTGAAAAATTGAAAGAACACACGAGTGAATATTTATTTTAAAAGAACTGTATAGTATAAACGAGACATATTTATTCAAAATGCAAAAAGAGAAACTATAAAAAAGGCTTATTGTTTAGCGAGGAATAATTCTGCGATCTACTTCATGGAATGCGGTCTTTCTTCAGAAATCTGTCAAACGATCCGGAGAAAGTGGGAATTTAGCTGCGTACAGGCCATTAATAGCTAAGATTTGTTTCATTCGGAATATTAACTACTGGTAGAAATACTGATTTCTCAAGAAAAAAACATCCAACACGTTACCTCTTCCATTTCACCTTCTTGAGAACATGATGGCAAGATTCTATCAGTGGGAGACAACGGTTCTTGTTTAATATCTGGCTGGGCCATAATTCCTTTGTCTGAGATAAGGAGAAAACGAATGAATAAAGACTGAAAAATTATAGATACTTCACAAACATCGATATCAAAGATCTGGCAAGAACAACATTAAAATGTTTGAAAATATATATCGGCTCTCCCAGGAGCCAACAACTTTTTGGAACTCAGGGTAGAGACTTCAGATCTTCGAGTGAGATACGCGCTGAGTAATATTGGTATTGACAGTACCAGAATAATGCAGCGTGTGGCGATAAGGAAAATATTGATCTTAAGAATTAATGTTTCACATCATGTAAACTTGGACCTCGGCTTGGGTTTAAAAGTGACACTAAGGGGATCGTTCACCAAACTTCCTTCCCCTCCTCTTACCACCATACATAGATCCACCACTGTATTCAAAAAAGACAGACTGCAAATAATCGTCATCACGGGGAATCTCCGATAGTCCTTATTAAGTAATTTACTGTAAAGGGACGCTTACAAACCTTGAGCGGAAACATCTTGGCAAGGGGTGTTAGAAGAGCTGATAATCGGAGGGACTTCACCTTATAACCGGAATAGATACAGCGCTTCGAAACAAGCTATAGCAGTGCTCATCAAAAGACATTTTTCATTTACTAGTTTTGAATTAAGCTTCAAAACGTCATGATAAATCGAATTCTTTTTAAAACATTTGGAGGGGGCCTTCTTATATCAGAGGATATATCGGATGTATTTTTTTTTGGTTCCAGGGGCGTGTAACCTGGGGGCCTTATTAGAGGAGTGGGAGGGGCGGGGGTTATAAGTAGTAATTTACGACAGGCCGAAGAAAGACAAAATATAGCTAAACATATTGCAAAAGACTCGAACCTTCGATATATCATTACCTTCCATCACAGGTCTCGGATCGAACCATGTGTTCATGTAATCATGATCCAATAGGTGGGCAGGCCAGTGAAATGTTGGCCAGAAACCAAACCCACTAAAGGGCTTGCTACCAAGTGGATAATATGGAGCCTTTCTCGGTGGTTCCTGAATAAAGGAAATAGTATTGGTTTCAGTGATGTATATACATGAATTTTATATAGTTGAACCCGTCCCTGAATGAAGCCGGGCAGTTAGACGCAACTTATAATCAACTGCGAAAAGAAAACCTGAAGGTATTGGTATAATAATGTATATGAAATATCCGCCTGTTGTGGTTTCATTCCTCATTGATAACAACAATAAGTACTACTAAACGTTGTCGTTGTTTTTTTTCAATATGAAACGTTTTCACATACATGACGTCACAGCGGCCGTATTGGTGTCCCAAAACAATGAAACGTGGGCCATGTTTGTTGAGAGTGGAACCTTTTTCTTCTATAAAAACCTTCTTCAGTTTCCAATACATTTGTATAGCTGGTTGGCACGCGTGATTGAAAACGCTCAATTGACTATCCTGTTCACAATCAGACTACAGCACTAAGAATATCGACCAGCAAGTAGCTGAAAGTTTACTTTCACTGTGGGTTCATTTGTGGTATACCGAAAAACCAGTGACGCATTCGCCCGCATAAAGTTTTTATTGTTTTTAGGCTAAGCAACAACAAAAAATCGGCACCACGATAGGAATACTATACGCTATACGAATGTATTACAAATGAGATCACTCTCAAATATAAGTACAGGGTTTGGGCAGCGACAGAAAGGAACGGCCAACATTTTATTTTCATTTTATCATGGGAAAAAGCCCGTGCTCTTATAAACACAACTGTCTATAGATTAATGAAGCAAATGAAGCAATGAAGCAAATATATTCATAAATGTAATGTTCTGTGACCGGACCGAAGCAAAGCAAAATTGGTAATATAAACGTCACTCGCTTAAACGAAAGGGCTATTTTTGCCACCTGAAACAAACTCAGTATTCCCTGTCAGTGAATAAAGTGACAACACATTAAAGCTTACAGAACGCGCTTTTCGTTTTTCTTTTTCGGTTTTCCAACCTTTTCGTTGGTTCGAAAGTTTAACAGTAAGTTTTCTAAATTGTGTTGAATACTTATTTAATGTTTTTCTGAGAAATAATATCTGAACGTACAGTTTACAGTGTTATCTAACCGGATAAACTGACATTCACACCGCCTAACTTTATGTCTTTCCACCCCTTTCACTAACGTACTGCGGATTGTCTGATAAGTTCCTAAGGAGAACTTGGTTTTATGTTGTTTTTATGGTATTTAACGATCTCAAAAACTGAAATGCGAGGGGTATAATTGACAGAGCGAGAGGTTAACAAAGCGAAAAACATTTAAGCCTGATTCACTCGTTGTTGCTTTTCAAAACTAACTTGGCTTTCCTTCCTTCATTTTGAATCTTTAAAGATGACTTTAATATTTTGCCAAGCGGCCTCAATCATACCGAAAAAAAAGCGAGGTGTACCATTTTTAGTTCATCATTCTATCAGTGTTAACGATTTCCTCATACCTACTTAGAGCATAAAATCCTTTAGTCGTGGCAAAAGATTTAATTATATTAAGAAGGGTATTTCAAGGTAATCACACGGAACTTTTTCTGGAAGTAGTTTGGCTATTTTCCTGAAGTTTTGTTTTAATGTTTATTTCCCCATTTATGGGAAACAAATGGTTTAAGCAATTTCCGCTACCTGTATTCCATTAAAAACCTGCGTGCAACTATAAATAAAATAATAATATTGTTCCCCATGTAAGGGCCTTGCCAGCATTTATTTTCCGCCAAGCTGCAACCTTCGTCTTGATGAAATTAACAATTGTACTGATTTTATTTTCTGGTAGCCAATATGAAACAGTATCTACTTACAGCAATTCTATTTTTGACAGATTCCTCTTGGTCCCTTCTTGCAGACTTTCTTGAACTAGCATGTTCTCTTGAAGTTGATGTAGAAACCACTGTACTCGTTGAGGCGTTTGCTGCAGAAGAAAGCAATTACTGACTTTTACTCAAACTCAGTCAAGATTGACTTCCCGCAGGAATTATAGCCGAGGTCTTAAGTCTGTGTTCTAAGAGCCTGAAGTAGTCGGAATGTCGCAAAAGACCGCGCAATAAGTGACCCTTGACTACATTCTGAGACAAAACGATTAAATTATTTGCGTCGATGGGTTGTACCGGGCCAGTTATGTTCATCGCAGTAGATACACAGAAAAAACCTCACTAGATAAACGTTCGTCTTTCTTTAATGTACTATATCTCTAAAGAGACAAAGCAACCCATTTTTTTTGTTTGCGGAGACGTTTCGTTTACAAACGCGCCCACAACTTTAGTCTTCAATAAAAGTGTACTTTTAGAAACAACCGCGCTCTTGTACGAACACACGATGTTCACTGGAAGGTAGCAAAGAAAACAAAATAAACTAGTTGCGAGCTGGTGGCTGCTGCACCCCTTGCGGCCGGGCATGACTCAGCAGCCAACACGAGCAGTCAGCATCGAAGTTCCGCCTTGCACTTTAAACTCTTTCTCGTGATATATATCCTCCTCGATATGGGTATTCCTCCGCAAGGCATAGTTTTTCCTTGTTTTTCCGGCCAGAATACAGATTGCTCTCTGCAAAGGAATTCGAATTTTTTGTGGCCTATCGCACAAATTTGCTGAATTTGTCGAATTTGTGGAGTTGAACTCCCAGTTTCGAATTAAAATCTTCTTGTTTGCACACTGCCAAACAGAATCGATTTTCGCAATCTTGACTTCAACAAGTAAAATTCTTAAATATTTTAATTCAACGAAATACTGTGAGCGTTCAAACTTTCGGCAAGTGGCCATAGAGAAAGATTTAGTTCACATGATCAAACTCCATCTGAAAAAGATGGCACAACATGGCTTATCTTATTGAATTCCATGGTAAAAAGACTTCATACGATACAGACACTATTTGCAGAAAACCGTGTTTCATTTAAGATCACCGATTAGGTAATTTACGAATTCTTTAGTTTGGAGAATTTACTGCGATGTCATTCCTGAAATTGCAAAATCCATTATCAGAAAGAATCACTGAATAGACTGGCCATTTCCATGTTTATGTTCTGCCAATTATGATCCAATCTTATCTTTGCATAAGATCGAAACATTCTTCAAGACTTTCGAACCTTTGTCGCAAGTGCCTAAAGCAACACTTAGCTTTTATGCGATAATGCAATGTCTTGGTTTAAAGATTTAATATGTTCAAACTAGCATGACGCTTTCTTGGAATAGTCAAAACCAAAAACAACCCTCTCTTGTCGAAACATGAGTGCGCGTTATGGACGCCGTGTACTATGCAGTTGCTAAAAGAAAAAATTTGCAAGGTTTCATTTAGGATCTATGCATTAGCTGAAACAAGCTTTAAAATCGTATTTTGTCGCGCATTTTTAATGAAAACTCTCAAGCTTGAATGCTGAATCCACAAATGTCCCAAGCTGCTTTACTATAGGGTGCGACTACAGAAACCACGCCCTAATCAACCTTGCGATTTTCGTTGAAAAAATATCCCGGGGAAGTCCAATTTTTCCAGCGCAGTAATAAAAACAGGAAACCGACATTTAACATCCCTGAAAACTTTAAACTGGGTGAGAAATCCCGCTTTAAACGTTGATGTTTCCAAAAGCGACCCACCATATATGCAAATTACGTCATTTAGGTTTTTTTCTGGGAAAATGTCCAACATCCGCATGTATTCATTTTTCTTAGAATTAAAGCGCAGTTATCGCCTGATGCAAATATTGCTCGTTGATTTCGGCACTGCATTTTGGTTGAGTAGAAACATTGATTTTGCTACAACATGAGTGAATTACAGATGATCTTTGCCTTTTTTCAAAGATTGTTATGGCTATTTTACTTGCTAATCCGTTAAGGATAGAGAACAAGGGGGTCACGGGTTTATGCACAAGGAAGGTTTCAAGCATCCCAAACCTTTGGTGCAGGGTACATACTGTTGATTTATGCTCTTCTAATTTGCAGCAAGGCAATTTTTTAACTATGTGCGAGCGGCAAACAACTACTCTGAATAATGAATAAGATAATAAAATTGATTTCATCAGCGTTTCAGATAGTTTCGTTGTTTATATTTGTGTTAGCGCAAGTCGCCTTAGAAGTCGATCTTGTGTTGGTCAGGCCGTTTGAAATACTCACATTTACTCTGTCCTCGTCTCGACTGCCCAGAATCTTTCTTGTCGTTTTTCCTGATAATCTGGTACACTTTGTACGCATCTTGCCCACGCGCGATGCCCTGATTCGGAAGCTCACGAATGTCCGGCAAAGCATTCAGGGCACAGCGGAAATTAGCCTTCCATCTTCGCGGGTCTGGCTTGTCGATGCCTCGTCTGTAGCGGCCGGTATGCGCCGCCCAGGCTTCGAAGACGCAAGCATCCTTGACCACGGACCAACACTGCCTGGAAGCATGTTTCCACGGGACTTTAAAGATGCCTTTATCGCGATCTACCCACTGAAGTCCTCGAAGCCTGCCGCTGTCTGCTTGTTGTTCGATCCATGCGCGTAGTCTCATCTTCTCCGCGGGCATCGCGAACTGATTTTCTCTTCAAAAGTCGAGTTATAAAAAAATACTGCAGTAGGAATATCTCAAATTTTTGTCACAGATTAGAAGAGAGGAACTTCTTGCTGGCTGGCTGACTGAGTAACGAATGAATGGAGCTTTCCTTTTTGATCAGAGGTCTTTTATTTCAGCCAGTTCGTGACGCGCGGGGAGTCCCCGAGTATTTCCGGGAACTGTGATGTCACTGGCAACCAATCAAAAGCTAGCGCATTCGCGGCAAAAACACAATGATATGAAACGAATTTAGATCGGTTGTAACTAGGGTGTGTCAAGTAATTCTCAAGACTTTTGAACCTGAATACAATTTATCTTACAAAATGTCCAGTATACTAATTATTTTTCTATCAAATGTCGGCAAACTCTATGCTGCGTTTGTATATTAATAAAAGCAATGAATCAGTTTCAAAACTTGGCCAGTTTTAGTTTCGTTATCTTGTAGAATCGATGATAAAAAGTGAAACATGGAAAAGAAAACTGAAGCGGAAAACTTGACGCTTCAACAGAAAACGAAAGAACTTCATGTGCGTTACCTTGAACGCGAATGCAAACGAAAATATATGGCCGGCGGAATTATAATACAAAAATTCACGTCTTGTAAAATACCTCAGTGCTACAAGGCACGGTAAATACCGAGAAAAACTAATTTTAGAATTCTTTTGTCTAAATTATGTACAAGACAGGTAAGAAATTGTCCCACCCTATGCCATGTGATTCGGGTATGATCCTAGTTTTCGATTAGTATAATAAATTCTAATTAACGAAAGCAATTTTAAGATCGCTGTGCAAAAAGAAGTGGTAATAGTACCTCCCTTTTAATTCTTGTTTAACGTTCTCCATGTAGTGAAGTCAGAGGGTTGTTTTTCGAAAACAACTGGTTACATAAAACGTAAGTGGACTCGTGACATTTCACGCTGTAACGAGCTAAATTTAAAACAGTGACTCCAGGATATTACGTTGAAAATATGTAAATATCAAAATGTGTATTTATTAGCATGTCAGATTAAAATGACGATTTTTAATCGCAAAGAAAACGAAATGCAAATAAGAAATTGAAAGCTTTAAAACGTCATAGAAACTGACAAGAAAGAAATGAAAGAAACAAATTATTCCTTTCGATCAATCCAAGAAATGTTCGAAAGCGTGACACGATGGTGCGAGACTTCGTTACACTGTATAAACACTCAGTGTACAACGAGTTGTTTTTCCGGGTAAGGTTTTTGACATTAAGAAACATAAATCCTAGTTAAATCTATCATCAATGAAGCATTTTTTTAAAGCAGATAAAGGTTGTTTTGCTTTCGTCTTTAGCTTTCGATCCATCTGATACGAACAGGGAAAGTCGATTTGTATTCCACGTGTACGAACAACTTCCGTTTCCTAGCTAGACTGATGCGTGCTGCACCTACAGCGACATACCAATTACCATCTAATGATATTTGTTGTTATTTGGAGCTGATACAGCCACAGGTCAAGTTTTGTGATTTTTCCAAAATATTTTTCCTCAGATAAAAAAGTAGACTAGAACTACGCTACGCTTAATGCCTCCTTATGCTTTATATTTTTGAGGATTTGAGGAGAATACGATCTTGAAATTTTACGAAGAGCTTGATCAGAACAAACAAATGAAAGAACACCTAAAAAGCTAATAAAGAAACCTTGCAAAATTGTGCATTACGTTTCCCTTAGTCGCAGAGAGAGAAGTAACTCAAGACAAGCGTATAGTTAGTTCGGCTTTTTTGAGGACACGGAAGTTAAAAATTAGTTGCCTGTATTAAATTAGATATGCAAAGTTCTCGTCTGGTACATAACATTTTGTTTGTTGGGTATGTTATCAATACAGCTAGACGGGATATACACACGTTTTTCCACCTTGGAAAAATCAAAAAAGGCATTAGAGGAAAGGAGTTTAGACGTCAATTAAGTTAAGAATAACTTCTAAGAACTGCGTGAGTTTTTTTTAATATTCAGTATTCACCCCTCAAGGGGTATTGGCCCCTAATTCGACCCTAATTCACAAAGAGCGAGGCGGAACTACAAAAAATATATATATATTATATTATCTTAAAAATGCCCCCCTAGTGCGAGGACAGGAGGTTTAAGTATTCTTTTAAAATGAAAAACAGCGATTCTTGAAAAGTAGAATTGTATAGCTGGAAGTCAATGATCTACGGAAATGATTTACGGTTTGTTCAGCGAAAAGATGTATTGCATAAATTATCGTTGCGGCGCTGTGGATCGTAAACATATCCTGTTTTCATTGCACGCTATTTGTGCAAATGACCTGCTTGAGGGAATGGTTTGGGAGATACGGATAGGTAGTTAACGGGAGGCTGGTTTTGGTTGGCGAAAGGGTATATACAGAGGTAGATATTGCAAGTGCAGGACGAGTTATCATTCAATCCCGACATGGAATCCTCGGTTTTTCGAGTGAAATCGTCGCATACGGGAGAGGGAAGTGCCAGTAATTGGATTATTCCTTAATGTGTGGCCTGTCGATAGGTTCGGACAAGGGCCTGGTTTGGGTAACTTGGGGTTTATAAACGATTCAGTTCATTAACGCACATAGAACTTAGGAACCTCGAACGTTTGCGGCTCAGCTGCAGAAAATGTTAAACGCTAAACTGTTATCTGTTTAAACAATAATCACAACAAAAATGGGAAATAACGCTAATCGGCTACCCTGGTCCGAGAGGTTTTTCTTGACACACGCGGAGAAAAATCAAGAGAATCTCTGGGTCCAGGGTACTGATCATAGATACACCCCCATTGATTTTGGTTCTCTCATCGAACCGGCTAGTCAGTGGCTAATATGGTTTGGATCTTTGTTCTTACGAACAAAATGAATTGATTCCAAAATAGCTAGGAGCTGTGGATCTCTAATAATGGGCAGGAAATGTTATTGTTTTAAATAGGCAGGTTTTACACACCTCCTCGAGCAACTATCATTTATGAATATATAACTTAACCTATTCTTTAACTCTAGGAGCATTGCTTTGCGGCCTTCAAATACTAATGCCCTCAATTCATAAACGAGTGACTTCAACAGACAGCAATATAGGGCCTAAACAAAATACTCTACCAGACACGAAAACATTAAGTCGCCAACAAAGGCTACGCATGAACGGAAGTCCTGTATAATTAGTTATTTCCTAAATTTGTTGGTGTAACACTCAGCAAGTTAATAAACTGAATAGTGGCTTCCTTTTTAATTATGTCAAAGTTTAAGCAAACATTTCTCGTAAAACAAAGAATGTCCTTGTTTGCAATTTAGAGACGCTCTGCAAGCACATCTGATAGTATTCTAAGAATAAGGTTCACCTTTTGAGCTTAAACACACCCTATGAATTACGTCGCCACACCTTAAGTTAAAATAACCTTGAATTCAACTTCCGTGAGAACATTGGACATTTCATAAATAAATTCTCGCGGTTCATTGATCCACTTAATTGCACAGAGTGAAAAGGTATAGATGCGCATTGGCTGATTCAAGTGTAATAATTGCAATGATTGTAATGGTCTATATATATGTCGCACGATTTCATACGATAATGGCTTACTGTCTCCAACGACTATTTCATAAACTTTGAGGGTTAAATTTAAATTTGGATAGGCGTTTATTTGTGCTCTATTTCCTTTAAAGCTTATCCCAATTAATTAAGTCGATATAGGTAAATTTCTCATTTTTTTTGCTTCTGGCCGTGGTATTTCATCTTTAAATAAATGGTCGCTTTTAACTTGCAAAACACTGAGTGCGCATGTTGTTATTAGGGACCTTACGATCCGACAACGGCAACGCCAATGAAAACGTCGCTAAAAATAGACTTCGCCTCCTTTGAAACTTTTTCGCCCAAACACTAAGTCACCCAGGTAGTTGAAAATAGTGAAGTTAGGTTGGAAGTGTAAGGACAGGACCGAATTCAGACAGAGATAGTTTATCGCCTTGCCGTTCCCGTTCTCAAGTAACCTCAAAATTTGGCCATTTCACGTCGAAGTTATGCATTTTACGGCGCAGAAATTTACATTAAGGGTGATACAAGTATATACAGAATTGTTGTTTTGCTCATAAAACCCATTGCGCCAATTACATCAACGGAGTTTAGCCCGTGCAGTAACAGAACCGTGATCTAAGCCATATTCAGTTTGCCCAACGATTTTATATATCTAAACACCATTTATCGTGCACAATTTCAGTAAAGCACAAAGCGTAGACTGGAAAAGCATGCACGTATTTTCTTAAATTAACCCACTAAGAAAATGATATTTAGGTCCAATGATTTCCTAAACCGCGGCCTAAGTTAGACTTCGTATAAATAACCGACCCATTGTGTTCTAGACGTTGGCCCTTGCCGTCGCCGTCGCTGTCGCCGTGGTCGTTGCAGTTTCTTATATTTTTCGTAGTTGTCTCTATATTGTTTGGCTGCAGACTCGAAATTCTCTTTTAAAATACTTCACTCGGCTACGCCTCGTACTTTTTCCTTACACTGACTTCTTTTAAGTTGCTCATATATTCCCTTGCACTGAAACAAATCAGATTTCAAAAGGAACACGTTGACGGAAGATCTTTCCAAAAATATTCCACGATACTTGAAAGGTAAGCTTAATGAAGCCGCGTACAGATTGTTAGCACCGGAAAACCGATTTAGAGAAGATAAATCTAAAAGAGGAGATTCTTTTCATTGCTCTCGAGTTAAAATCTCCGTTAGAAATACAAGCCTGGGAAACTTGTTAATTGTCAGTACTGTTGATTGGGTCTGTGGACTGTACAGTGGTAGCTCATTTCGTGGTGCGTACTTCCGGGTGATCTTGTTTACACTTTGCAAATTTAAAAATCAGGACCTCGTTTTTCCATAGGTCGGAGTTTTAATAATTAAGTTAAACTTTGAAACTGCTCTATGCATTTATCGTTTAATAAGATGGCTTTAAGACAAGACTTGTTGAAAACTACCACAGAGAAACGCCAAGTAGCCACAATTTTGTGAACTTACGAAAAAGGGTTTGTCTGACTTGAGACATCTTCTACCGAACAGTCGTGAATTAAACCGATCGGAAATGATGTCTTAATTAAGCCATCTATCAGTTCTAATTCAAAGTTCCTCTTTATCTGTAAACTGTTCTTGGCGGTAACATTAAAAGGCTCAGTAATTAGATGGAATATATTTGCTGTTATAGATATCGGCCTTGTTGCTGTATGGAACCACCTACGACTACAATTTCCCTAAACAAGATCTACTTAAAAACTCTCTAATCTAATGTTTTTGTTTTGCTGCTACAGTGACGAAGCCGCTGTATGTTCCGTCAATGTTTAACTCCATGCCTACTGGATGTATTTCACTGTATAAGCGTTCACTCCAAAATCGCCACCCTAAAAATGGGTGTCAACAAGCAATTTATTATTAACATTACATCAAGTGCAAAAAGAGGTTTTTAAAAAGTCTAAAAAAGCTCAGCCATGTAATGGACTTCCGTAGCTTATTCAATGGATTTTGAATCAGTATAGACAATACCAGCAGCACCCGTAAGTTACCGGACGAATAAGATTGGCCAAGGTTTACTACTATCAGCTTTAAATCCGGTCACCGGACTTCCGTAGTTTGATAGAAAGGCTTTTGACAATCGCCAAACTGTAAATAGAGGTCAGTGTCTGCATCTATCCGCGTTTTAGAACTTCCCGTCGGGAAACCATGGATCCATTGACTGGCGAGTGTGCTTAGCACGAATTGCGTGCCTATAAACGACCTTTGAACTGGGCCTCCACAGGAAGACTGGCATGAATCTTTAAAATAGTGGAACCAGTTTCAACACAAAACTGAATAATACAAATGTGAAATTCAGATTCGGGAAATGGAAAAGATGAATACAGTCAATGACCTTGTAAAAAACCTCTCTACAGACGGGTACAGTACTGGGTTTACCTTGCAAACCATTTTACCTGTGTATAAGGTTTGTCTTTAAAAAAAAGCTTTCTTGAAAAGTGAAACCGTGGATATTTCACTAATAAACTTAAGATTAAAAATCGTGAACATGGAAACTATGAACTAGTACAAGAGAGTAGCCATGAATTGAAAAGTCAAAAGTTATTTCAACGTGATTTGATCATGCAAACAAAGCGAAATTTAAAAAAAAAGAGAAAAAAACTTTTTCGCACTTAAAAAAGGACACAAGGCGTCACTCACGTTTGACAAAGAAGTCAGTATCTGAAAATGAGGTGTTTGGTGATTTCAGTCTGCCAATGACACGGTGACAGGGAAAAAAATCAATCATTCTCTCCAGTAGCATATCCACGTATGGGCCATATAAGAAAGTGCTTCCTGTCGCCTTTGGCTGAAAACCCATATCCAGGAGACATCCCGGTGAAGGCAAAGCACAAAACTGACCCACCCATTACAGAAAAAAATCTCTTTGGTCTTGGGATCATTTTATTTCGCAACCGAAGCTTAGTATACAGATTTCTGAGGAACAAACTCTTATAAAACTCTTCTCGTTATTTTACATAAATATAAATTCTTAACCTCCGATGCAAATAACGTGTTTGCGAAAATCGGTTATAGCTGAAACCATACTCGACATGAGCGAATGATAAGCATTGCAATTATATATATTAACCCAATTAATTATTAAATATGTCATTAATAAAATCACAATCTCTTCTCCCGCCGTCTTCGTTTCCTTTCCCCTACAGTCAGAACGGAAAACTTCACACGGTTACAACCAAATGGCTTTTCAAGTGATTTTAGAGGTAGAGTATCAAAACCTTACTTTCCATTATCGTCTATTTTCGCTTTAAAACGTCCAGGTACTGTCTTTTGTATAGTAGTAATAAAGTTGTTCGGTTATCAGAATTAGGGAGTTTAACATGACACGAAGGCAACCAGAACGTCAAAAACGCAATAGGTTTAGGTTAGCAAAACAACAACTTTTACACGCGCAGCACACTTTCTAACTTGAAAAGAATGACGAATTATGCCTTTCTCTCTTTGAACTTGGATAGTTTTTCTAAAGAATTCAACTCCGGGAGAGCTCGCCTACATTTGACAAAGAGGACGAGTTGGGATATTCGCGCCTTTTCATTGAAGTTTCGCCGCCCTATTTGTCATGAACGTTCTTTTCTATGAATTAAACTGAGAATTTGGCTTTTCTAGGGAGAAAGACGAGCGAAAGGATAAGAAAGCGATGATAGGATAGGCCATTCATCGTCCGGAGACACGAATGAGTAACCTCAATTCTGGCTCTATCGTCGTTGGCTTCTGAAAAGACACATGCCGTTGTTTTCAGGGCTAAGGCCGGACATTTTTTCGTTATAGCTAATTAAACAACTCGTCCTCAGAGCTCCATGGCACCCCTTTTCCCCTCTCTCCTTCTCTACCCTCTTCGTCTTTTTAAATCTCCTCTTCCGTGACCTCTATGAAAGGCTTGATTCTCAGTTCAGCATGAAACAATACTGAAGTCACGCAATAGAAAGGCAAAGGGAACGGCAAACCTTGTGTGACAAGCCAAGCGTGAAAATGTCATGCTTGAAAAACAATTTCCGCCAAACTTCAACTCCCCTAAAACAGATCATTCGGTGAAAGACCAGGGACACGTTTCTCGAAAGTCCCGATAATTAACGGGCCCGTAAAGCTGTTGTTTACATGGAAGATAGAGGTTTCAATAGCTTTGTATCTAATAGATAAAACTATCAGTTAATAAAACGAAATGGAGTAGTACGCTAGCCAGGACCCACGCTCTTGTTCTTTACAGTTCGATTTGAATGTGTGTTTTCGGGCCCGAAAGTTACCGGGACTTTCGAGAAACAGGCCCCGGAACACAGTAAGGCTATAAATGAAGATCACGACAAAACACGCAAGTAATAACCCTGTCACGTTTGTAACACACACACGTTTTGCCGTCCTCTTCTTTCTGCCCTCCTTTTGCGTAAGCTAACTATCGGTACAAGATAAGTGCTTCATATTTATTGGAAAATGCAGCGCGATGGACTTTACAGCGAAAATAGGCGATTTTTGGATCAGAGTTTTTTGGTAAATTTGTCTGTAATTTTTTAAAGAAAAATGAATTGTCGGCGAAGGAAAATGGACCGTGGAAATTTCCATTAAATTTGTTTAAGGTCGGGGATAATCAGAGTCACTTCTTATCTGTCCATGTGCATGATTGATTGTCTTTCTAAAGCAGCCCGCCCCCTCCCATTCCCGAAAAGCACCACAAGCCTATATCTCATTAAACATCATTTATCTTGGTGTAACAAGAGGATGCGGCGTGTAACATGGGTTACTACGCGGGTGCCAGGGGTCTGGTAGGAGACCACGTTTCCAGGGGTTTGGTAGGAGACCAGGTTTCGGTGGAAACGCAAGGTTACCAGGTTGAGGCACAGGGAACCCACAGTTTCCATGTATCGGGTACACCGGGTCAAACTGCTGTCGGTTTGCTCTGTGATCATGTGGCATTACACCTCTATGCTGATACCACCAAGGATTTGGCGGTATCTCCATTCCTCTGTTATTAACAGGAAACGGTGTAGGCAGAGGAGAAACCCAACAAGGATATGAATGGTGCTCGGTATTTGCTTTAAAATATTTTCTCTCGTTATAATAGTGCACTGTAGGCGACATGTACTCAAACTGGGGTCGTCTTGGGTTAGGGCGGTGTATGCGAGGATCTCGTATGTTCGACTCGCACAACATCGCACGCGGCATCCCATGTACTTGTTGACTTCGATTCATTTCCCGATCCAAAGAGACCAATGGAGGTGGAGGAGTCAAGTTCATTGATCCTCTTAATTGCACAGAGTGAAAAGGTATAGATGCGCATTGGCTGATTCTGGTGTAATAATTGCAATAATCGTAATGGTCTATATATATTTCGCACGATTTCATACGTTAATGACTTATTGTCACCAACGACTATTTCATAAACTTTAAAAGATAAATTTAATTTGAATTGGCGTTTATTTGTGCTCTATTTCCTTGAAAGCTTATCCCAATTAATTAAGTCGATATAGGTAAATTTCTAATTTTTTTTTTGCTTCTGGCCGTGGTTTTTTATCTTTAAATAAATGGTCGCTTTTAACTTGCAAAACACTGAGTGCTCATGTTGTTATTAGGGACCTTACGATCCGACAACGGCAACGCCAATGAAAACGTCGCTAAAAATAGACTTCGCCTCCTTTGAAACTTTTTTGCCCAAACACTAAGTCACCCAGGTAGTTGAAAATAGTGAAGTTAGGTTGAAAGTGTAAGGACAGGACCGAATTCAGACAGAGATAGTTTATCGCCTTGCCGTTCCCGTTCTCAAGTAACCTCAAAATTTGGCCATTTCACGTCGAAGTTATGCATTTTACGGCGCAGAAATTTACATTAAGGGTGATACAAGTATATACAGAATTGTTGTTTTGCTCATAAAACCCATTGCGCCAATTACATCAACGGAGTTTAGCCCGTGCAGTAACAGAACCGTGATCTAAGCCATATTCAGTTTGCCCAACGATTTTATATATCTAAACACCATTTATCGTGCACAATTTCAGTAAAGCACAAAGCGTAGACTGGAAAAGCATGCACGTATTTTCTTAAATTAACCCACTAAGAAAATGATATTTAGGTCCAATGATTTCCTAAACCGCGGCCTAAGTTAGACTTCGTATAAATAACCGACCCATTGTGTTCTAGACGTTGGCCCTTGCCGTCGCCGTCGCTGTCGCCGTGGTCGTTGCAGTTTCTTATATTTTTCGTAGTTGTCTCTATATTGTTTGGCTGCAGACTCGAAATTCTCTTTTAAAATACTTCACTCGGCTACGCCTCGTACTTTTTCCTTACACTGACTTCTTTTAAGTTGCTCATATATTCCCTTGCACTGAAACAAATCAGATTTCAAAAGGAACACGTTGACGGAAGATCTTTCCAAAAATATTCCACGATACTTGAAAGGTAAGCTTAATGAAGCCGCGTACAGATTGTTAGCACCGGAAAACCGATTTAGAGAAGATAAATCTAAAAGAGGAGATTCTTTTCATTGCTCTCGAGTTAAAATCTCCGTTAGAAATACAAGCCTGGGAAACTTGTTAATTGTCAGTACTGTTGATTGGGTCTGTGGACTGTACAGTGGTAGCTCATTTCGTGGTGCGTACTTCCGGGTGATCTTGTTTACACTTTGCAAATTTAAAAATCAGGACCTCGTTTTTCCATAGGTCGGAGTTTTAATAATTAAGTTAAACTTTGAAACTGCTCTATGCATTTATCGTTTAATAAGATGGCTTTAAGACAAGACTTGTTGAAAACTACCACAGAGAAACGCCAAGTAGCCACAATTTTGTGAACTTACGAAAAAGGGTTTGTCTGACTTGAGACATCTTCTCCCGAGCCGTCGTGAATTAAATCGATCGGAAATGATGTCTTAATTAAGCCATCTATCAGTTCTAATTCAAAGTTCCTCTTTCATCCGTAAACTGTTCTTGACGGTAGTATTAAAAGGCTCAGTAATTAGATGAAATTAAACTTTGAAGTTGTGACTTGGAAGTTTGCCTATATTTGCTGTATTTTTATAGATATCGGCCTTGTTGCTGTATGGAACCACTCACGACTAAAATTTCCCTAAACAAGATCTATTTAAAAACTCTCTAATCGCATTTTTTCCCCTGCTTTCTCTTTGTTTGTTCAACCCATTTTAAAGTGACGAAGCTGCTGTATGTTCCGTCAATGTTTAACTCCATGCCTGCTGGAGGTATTTCACTGTATAAGCGTTCACTCCAAAATCGCCTCCCTAAAAATGGGTATCAACAAGCAATTTATTACTAACATTACATTAAGTGCAAAAAGAGATTTTTAAAAAGTCTAAAAAAGCTCAGCCATGTAATGGACTTCCGTAGCTTATTCAACGGATTTTGAATCAGTATAGACAATACCAGCAGCACCCGTAAGATACCGGACGAATAAGATTGGCCAAGGTTTACTACTATCAGCTTTAAATCCGGTCACCGGACTTCCGTAGTTTGATAGAAAGGCTTTTGACAAGTGCCAAACTGTAAATAGAGGTCAGGGGCTGCATCTATCCGCGTTTTAGAACTTCCCGTCAGGATACCATGGATCCATTGACTGGCGTGTGTGCTTAGCACGAATTGCGTGCCTATAAACGACCTTTGAACTGCGCCGCCACAGGAAGACTGGCATGGATCTTAAAAATAGTGGAACCAGTTTCAACACAAAACTGAATAATACAAATGCGCAATTCAGATTCTGGAAATGGAAAATATGAATACAGTCAATGACCTTGTAAAAAAACCTCTCTACAGACGGGTACATCACTGGGTTTACCTTGCAAACCATTTTACCTGCGTATAAGGTTTGTCTTAAAAAAAGCTTTCTTGAAAAGTGAAACCGTGGATATTTCACTAATAAACTTAAGATTAACAAGACGCCTAAAGTCGTTTCCGTGGGATGCGATGGTCTATGGAAGCATAATGGCGTTCTATCTAGGTTAATGGAACAAAACAAAACAAAACATCCGCTTGCTTTATCCGACAGGGTCGAACCCAGGGTTACAAAGTTCGATAAAGTTCCAATTAATGTTTTAATCCAAGATGAAAGTTTAATATTCCAAGATGCTCTTGATACGGTTAAAAATTAATTGCAATGTGTTTCCAAGGTCTCAAAGTTAACATAGTTCCAATGATTATCCCTGATTCAAAGGTATAATAAGTTTACTCATGTCCTGATCCGTGTCCCATCCAGAAGTCCAATCCATGCCGAAAGCGAGTCGTCGATCGACAAGGACAATATTTACGCGATTTCAACGCCAATCGTCAAGGGTACGAGTTCAAATTTACGCGATTTAACCTCCCATCGTCAAGGTATTTTCGATAAGAAAAGAAAATAACTGAACTCTAGCTGTGCTCGGCAAAAACTGGCGAACTCCGAATAGAAAAATCTATCGGAAATCATGGCCCGCAACCAGACGCTACTAAAACCTTATGAAAAAGCTAGACCTAAACAAAAAAGAATCATGAAGGAAAGAAAAAATTTGGCTTAGGTCGCCTTTCGTGACTTGCCAGTATCCCGAAGGATTTCGCTGGTTAACAAGCCATCCTAAACCACGAGTGGGAAAACTCAAGCGCGACAAATTTGGCAAGAAACGTTCTGATTTCAACGTTCTTCTGGGGAAGCAAATCGATTAAAAATCGATACAGATTTTGTACAATCCGATTGGTCGGCTTGGAAGAAGAGATAATCGATAAAGATTTTAGGCAATCCTATTGGCTGGCTTTGCAATTTTGGGTACAACCGAACCGGATTTTTACCGTGGGAGTGCCACAGGCATCCCACGGAATAATGGTGAGCATGGAAACTGTGAACTAGTACAAGATAGTAGCCATGAATTACAGGGGCGGATCTAGGGGGAGGGTGCAGGGGGTACGTACCCCCCCCCCCCCGCCGAGATGACCTGCGGTTTTCTAATACAACTGGTATTCTGCAAAAAAAAAACTATGTGGTTTATTGGTGTTGAAGTAGAGAAAGAGACGAGTGCACTCCCTCCTAAAAAATATCCTGAATCCGCCCCTGAATTAAAAATCAAAAGTTATTTCAACATGATTTGATCAGGCAAACAAGGCGAAATTTTTTAAAAAAACTTTTTTGCACTTAAAAGAGCACACGGCGTCACTCACGTTTGACAAAGAGGTCAATATCTGAAAATGGGGTGTTTGGTGTTTTCAGTCTGCCAATGACACGGTGACAGGGAAAAAAATCACTTATTCTCTCCAGGAGCATATCTACGTATGGGCCATATAAGAAAGTGCTTCCTGTCGCCCGCAATTCCCCAGGGCCTTTGGCTGAGAACCCATGTCCAGGAGACATCCTCGTGAAGGCGAAGCACGAAACTGACCCACCCATTACAGAAAAAAATCTCTTTGGTCTTCGGATCATTTTATTTCGCAACCGAAGCTTAGTATACAGATTTCCGAGGAACAAACTCTTATAAAACTCTTCTCGTTATTTTACATAAATATAAATCTTAACCTTCGATGCAAATAACGTGTTTGCGAAAATCGGTTATAGCTGAAACCATACTCGACATGAGCGAATGATAAGCATTGCAATTATATATATTAACCCAATTAATTATTAAATATGTCATTAATAAAATCTCAATCTCTTCTCCCGCCGTCTTCGTTTCCTTTCCCCTACAGTCAGAACGGAAAACTTCACACGGTTACAACCAAATGGCTTTTCAAGTGATTTTAAAGGTAGAGTATCAAAACCTTACTTTCCATTATCGTCTATTTTCGCTTTAAAACGTCCAGGTACTGCCTTTTGTATAGTAGTAATAAAGTTGCTCGGTTATCAGAATTAGGGAGTTTAACATGACACGAAGGCAACCAGAACGTCAAAAACGCAATAGGTTTAGGTTAGCAAAACAACAACTTTTACACGCGCAGCACACTTTGTAACGTGAAAAGAATGACGAATTTTGTCTTTTTCTCTTTGAACTTGGATAGTTTTTCTAAAGAATTCAACTCCGGGAGAGCTCGCCTACATTTGACAAAGAGGACGAGTTGGGATATTCGCGCCTTTTCATTGAAGTTTCACCGCCCTATTTGTCATGAAGGTTCTTTTCTATGAATTAAACTGAGAATTTGGCTTTTCTAGGGAGAAAGAGGAGCGAAAGGATAAGAAAGCGATGATAGGATAGGCCATTCATCGTCCGGAGACACGAATGAAAAACCTCAATTCTGGCTCTATCGTCGTTGGCTTCTGAAAAGACACCTGCCGTTGTTTTCAGGGCTAAGGCCCGACATTTTTTCGTTATAGCTAATTAAACAACTCGTCCTCAGAGCTCCATGGCACCCCTTTTCCCCTCTCTCCTTATCTATCCTCTTCGTCTTTTTAAATCTCCTCTTCCGTGACCTCTATGAAAGGCTTGATTCTCAGTTCAGCATGAAACAATACTGAAGTTACGCAATAGAAAGGCAAAGGGAACGGCAAACCTTGTGTGACAAGCCAAGCGTGAAAATGTCATGCTTGAAAAACAATTTCCGCCAAACTTCAACTCCCCTAAAACAGATCCTTCGGTGAAAGACCAGGGACACGTTTCTCGAAAGTCCCGATAATTAACGGGCCCGTAAAGATGTTGTTTACATGGAAGATAGAAGTTTCAATAGCTTTGTATCTAACATGATAAAACTATCAGTTAATGAAACGAAATGGAGTAGTACGCTAGCCAGGACCCACGCTCTTGTTCTTTACAGTTCGATTTGAATGTGTGTTTTCGGGCCCGAAAGTTACCGGGACTTTCGAGAAACGGGTCCCGGAACACGGTAAGGCTATAAATGAAGATCACGACAAAACACGCAAGTAATAACCCTGTCACGTTTGTAACACGCACACGTTTTGCCGTCCTCTTCTTTCTGCCCTCCTTTTGCGTAAGCTAACTATCGGTACAAGATAAGTGCTTCATATTTATTGGAAAAAGCAGCGCGATGGACTTTACAGCGAAAATAGGCGATTTTTGGATCAGAGTTTTTTGGTAAATTTGTCTGTAATTTTTTATAGAAAAATGAATTGTCGACGAAGGAAAATGGACCGTGGAAATTTCCATTAAATTAGTTTAAGGTCGGGGATAATCAGAGTCACTTCTTATCTGTCCATGTGCATGATTGATTGTCTTTCTGAAGCACCCCGCCCCCTCCCATTCCCGAATAGCACCACAAAACTATATCTTATTAAATATCATTTATCTTGGTGTAACAAGAGGATGCGGCGTGTAACATGGGTTACTACGCGGGTGCCAGGGGTCTGGTAGGAGACCACGTTTCCAGGGGTTAGGTAGGAGACCAGGTTTCGGTGGAAACGCAGGGTTACCAGGTTGAGGCACAGGGACCCCACAGTTTCCATGTATCGGGTACACCGGGTCAAAATGCTGTCGGTTTGCTCTGTGATCATGTGGCATTACACCTCTTTGCTGATACCACCAAGGATTTGGTGGTATCTCCGTTCCTCTGTTATTAACAGGAAACGGTGTAGGTAGAGGAGAAACCCAACAAGGATATGAATGGTGTTCGGTATTTGCTTTAAAATATTTTCTCTCGTTATAATAGTGCACTGTAGGCAACATGTACTCAAACTGGGGTCGTCTTGGGTAAGGGCGGTGTATGCGAGGATCTCGTATGTTCGACTCGCACAACATCGCACGCGGCATCCCATGTACTTGTTGACTTCGATTCATTTCCCGATCCAAAGAGACCAATGGAGGTGGAGGAGTCAAGTTTTTCAGTGCGCCTCTATTTTCTACCGCTTCATTGTGGGTTGGCGTCAACTTGGGTTGCTTTGCCAAGATGTATCCCTCCTCTGTACATTTTCGTTTCATACTTCGTACTATGTTATCCCACTGCATGGCTATCAAAGGTTCACTCTTGTTTTGAGTGTCCTGATAATAAACGCCTTGGTAACAAACTTTACTTTTAACTTGCGAGGCTTGAGCATCGGTCTTTCTATTTGAAGACGGCGGCGGTGAAATAACAGAGGGCGCTCCTGCTGACTTAACGATATTCGTACCCAACTTATCGCTCTTCTCAGTCTCCTTGCATTTTACATTTGCCTCCACTGTGTCAGAAACGACTGCACTTTTGGGTTCACTCTTGTTTTGAGTGTCCTGATAATAAACGCCTTGGTGACAAACTTTACTTTTAACTTGCGAGGCTTGAGCATCGGACTTTCTATTTGAAGACGGCGGCGGTGAAATAACAGAGGGAGTTCCTGCTGACTTAACGATATTTGTACCCAACTTATCGCCCTTCTCAGTGACCTTGCATTTTACATTTGCCTTGACTGTGTCAGAAACGACTGCGCTTTTCATTGTGCGTTCACTGGGTTTCTTAACCTCTTCCGTTTTTGAAGTTTTTTCAGCCAGCTTCTTAGAGCTCGTGTCATCCTTCGCAGTTTCCACTTTGGACTCTCTGGGAGAAGGCACTACTGCAAAAGAGTTATTAACCTTTCGTTCTCTTTTCCTTGTTTTATTTTTAGGTGTTGACCACACAAGATTCTTTCCTGTTGATTCGAGTGGTTCCTGTTTTAAATGTTCCCTCAAAAATGTTTCATTTGTTTCGTTATTTCTCATTCTAGTCGTCCCACTTCGATCAAGTGACTTTACAGTCCACTGAGTGGTTGTGGCGGGGGAAACACTTTTTGACTCAACATTTCCGAAGTTACTTTTTCTCACTGACTGTACCGGAGACTTCGTCATATCCTTAACAGGTTCCAGTTCTTCAGAGTTTTCAACTCTGTGGCAGTTTAAAAAGAAGTCTGAGCATTTTGTCTTTTCCACCCGGTTTTGTGACGAGCTTGTACATTTTACCTCCTCCTCCCTCTCTTTTGAGGACAAGTTATCTGGACATCTTTCTTTTTCCGTTTCACTTTTTGACTCCGCTTCATGATTGATCTCTTTCCCTTCCTCTTCTGTTTTCCCGAGCAGTTTCTCCGTGTTTTCCAATCTTTCCGATCTTCCTTCAACGGTTTTATTATGTGTCATATTCGTGTTCGCTTGTAACAAACGGGGTGAAGAAGCTGACAAATACATTGCTTTTGACTCATCACCTATCGCTATGTCACGGCTTGCCGTCTCTTTTCCCTTAACTAAGCAATCTTGTTTCTCTTCTTCAATACTATAACCAGGATCACGCGCTTCTGGTAATGTCATTACAGAACATCTGTTATCCACCTCCTCATTTTCCTCTGAAGTAACTGCTCCTTCTCTCTCGTCGTCAGTGCCGTTTCGCTTCACTTGTATTTCCGATAACAATCCCTCACAACCACTACCTTTTTCTCTTTCTTGGACGTTCGGTGAAGAAACTTCATGCCACCCTCCCTTTCTTTCACGCGCAGGTAATTCTACCTTTGAACCGCCGACGATGACATCATCCATTTGAACTTGCAGCACGTCCTCGAGAGTCGCAGCTGGTCGCTTTTGTGTGGTAATTTCACATGGCTCTCTGTCTAAATTCAGATAAATAGGCACGTCCCCATCTTTCGTAGATTCCACCATCTGAGACCCCTTCAAAATAACAGGCTGACCAACTGGCCTTTCGGCCTTTGCTACTTCTACGATCTGCTGCTCATCTCTCTTCAACAAAGGACCTAAGCACTCTTTTTCACATTCCTCCAACCGTTCAGAGCATTGTTGCTTCGAACCTGTGTTTTCCAGTTCCTTCACGTCCCCGCTACAAAACACATCTTTCTTTGGCAACGTACTTAAACACCCGTTAGCTACGTTTTGAGAAGAGTGCGAAATACACACTATACTATCAACTTTATCCCCCTCAACAACAACAACAGATTCAGGAATTTCTGACTCGTTTTCTAAACTGGATTCTTCAGGTAAGCCCACTTCGGACACGAAATTTTCCAATGATGAAACGACTACTTCCGTACAGAACTCTGGTACCACTAAGCTCTCCTCGACAAGATGCGTTTTGTCCTCAGTTGTTTCGCTCATACCGTTCTCGTCTTCATCAACAGCAGGTATTCCCGGAAATCTAAATGTGAATGTCTCCATCGGTTCTGATGGAGAACACACCACAACTTCTGGCTCTGGTATATCACATTCATCAATATATGGCCCAGTTTCAAATGGCTCAACAACTGGATCTCCGTCGATTGAATCTATTTCATATTCTTCTTCCTCCACGTCCAAAGGGCCGAATGCCTCATCTGTGAGGTGTGTTTCATTACAACTAGAAGAGCCTGGTACGAAGCCCCAGTCCTCTATGAGTGACATTTCTATCACCCCTCCCTCGCAGGGTTGTGACTTTGTAGGTATAACAGAATCTTGGGTTTCAACAGCAGAAAGGCCAAACATCGGCGGTTTTGTGCCTTCACTTCCCTGTTCCGTTACAGAAACTCCCATACTATCAAAACGTTCCACACAATCTTTATCTGGTTCTGGTTCTTTTGTATTTTGCGGATGAATGACTAACTTGCAGGGCGAACACGTATTTCTGTCAGGTTGGTTCGCGTTTAGACCTGTCGCCGTTTTCAAAGCGCCTTGAAGTGCTTTCAACCGTTCTATGCACAACTTAGGAAACTTTCGAGGTGACAAAGAAGACTCCAAAACTTTGCTACAGGACTGTGCACAGGATGTAGAGAGGCTGGTGTTCTCATCTAAAGAACAATTTTTTTGTATCAGGATGTTCGCTGCCGATCCTGATAATACAGAGTTTCTTGGTTTGGACTGCTTTTCGACAGTATCCGGTGAGCTTTTGAATGAATAGGGTCGATCAAAACTTAGAGAATTGCCTTCAGCACAGTCCAAAGACATCTCCGAGTCGCTTCCGCCCGCTTCAGCTCCTTTGCACACTGGAGAAACGCTTTGTTCGCGAGAGCGCGCACCCTCATCGATGCTCAGAGATTTCGACCAATCCGAATTCTTCTTACTGGAATTTTGAAGTAGCTGAGAGTTTGCTAACATTGCAGTCTGCCAATTGTGATTTTCACAAATCAAGTTTCTATCTAACGTTTCCGATCCATCGTTTTTATCAAACACTTCCGATTCGTCGTCTGTTGATATGGACATATCGACACACATAACAATATCATGTGATTCAGGCTCACGGCTAAGCCCGACGTCATCACCATGGTTAGTACTATCAGTGTCAGGAGACTTTGTATCGCACAGGACAACCAGTTGATCGTTAGCGGGTGAGACTGTATGTGCAATAAAATTGGTTGGGTTCGTGGTAGAATTCCCAGCGGCTTCACCAAGCAGTTGCTTTGCAGTCACTGTAACAGGCATGTTTTGGACAGATTCTGTAGTCGACGACTCAGGAAGAATTGTCTTGCTGCATACGACCTTCTCAAGCGAAGCTTGTGCTGTCGACACTCCATTGAAGGCGTGTGGAGTGGAGAAAGAGAAGGCTTGGCCTACAGTAATTGAACTAGGCAACGACTCCAAGATTTCCATATCAACTGTTTGTAAATTGTCGTGCAAATCCCAAATGGATTCGAGCTGAGAAATATCGGGTGGTGATGCGGTATTCGTTAAGGTGCGTGAGCCACTTTCATTAGACAAGCAGGGATCGTTTGGACACTCATCTGCAACAACTGATGGCGTTTCCACCAATTCTCCTGTTTGATGACGTTCCCTTCTACACATTGAACTAAAGGAAACGGACAGTACATTGGGTAAAGTATTTGCATTTGTATGTTTCACAAGAGGTTTCTCTGATTCGGAATCAGAGTGACTGCAATTTGCGGTGTCCTTTTGCTTTCCTAACGTAAGCAAACGCGTTAGCTCTGTTGATAACATTTCTTGAGTATCCGGAGCTGTTTTTAACCCTTCCTCAAGTTCTGCAGTCGACACTTCTAAGGAATTTTTACCATCTTCCGCGTAGTCCAGGTTTAAGCTTTTTACCTCACGCAGACCACATCCTATCACCGGCGAATCATTAGCTATGAAATTGCTTTTGCGCTCATCGCTGTCACGGGAAATATCAGACTGGATCCTAGGCCTCGCTGAGTCATCTTGTAAACGGAGTCTTTCGGGCGAGCTCGCACTCCTAGCAGTTCTCTGTAAAGGCTTCGTCGCATCTTTTGGAGAACTGTAAGAGAAGGACAGCGATCGTTTTACATCTTGACGTGGACTTGGGCGTTTGGGACTCAGTCGCGGGGATTTCTCTGTTGGCGACACAACAATCTTTGCCTTATGCTTGGTTTTCAAATCTAACAAGGATGGCTCGATGGCTGTTGATTCGTAACCCGCACTCGAGCCAGTGTTTGAATGGTTGGCTGCGCGGCTGTTGAAAGGTGGGCTGAAAGGACTAGTAAGCGGCCACACGGATCTTGGTGACAGCGCAGTAGTTTGACGACGACAAATGATGCAGAACACCCTAAGAGGACTCTCAGTTTCGCAAAACCCTGAAAGTAACAAAGAAAAGGTAAAATGTAACACACACTCGGACAACTTGCTCTGAAAAGGGATAATCTATTTAATAGCAACAGGACATGAAAATGCATTCATTGCAAGCTGATAAACTCATTAACAAAGATTCACTTACTCGGATAAATCCTCGTAAAATAGTTTCAGTTTTTGATAAGGTGTTCGAGAAATGTTTATTTTCGACTGTTGACGCCACAGGGAAAGGTGATCCTTTCGGATAAGTGATTCCTATCACTAGTTGATGCTGTTATTTTTTTATGCGTTCACCTCGTCTTAGGGTGAATGTTTTTCGACTCTCACGTCGCGGAAACTGGTCTTCATTCTTGTATAGTTTTCTTTCTTTTACTGTTTCGTATATGATTTCTTAAAGGAAAGATAAGGCTACCCTCACAAAGAATACACTCACCAAGATAAACAGCCAGCTTGCAGGATGGAACGAGAAACATTGTAGTACATGGGTCGATACATACTACACCAGCCTGTAAAAAGATAATGCGCGTTAATCTAAGCGCTGAGAACGACACTTGGCAACAAATAATTCAACACAAAAATAAACTATCAAAGGCGCCTTTATGCCTTGTGAAAGCTACTTCTTGAAATCTACTTCTTAATTTAGAACTTACAGATTTAGCTTTAATAACGAGGCCTCTGGTGAAGCTTGTAAAGGATTCAGAGGTTTGTCCCTGGGCCGGTTTCATTGTGCAAAGACTCAACGTGTGGCCTCTGAATATTACTGTGGAGAGGAAAGTCATACAGCATACGGTATTCAAATTTTCGTAACTCAACCAATACCGCTTTGTCCCCGCGAAATTAACACGCTAGAGAACGTAAATTGAGGTCCCTAAATTTTACCACTTACTTGACCTTACGGTTAAATAAATGCCTGATACGTTCGTTCAAATCTACGAAAAAATTTTTTTTCACAGTTCTCACTCTTTCCTGTTGCTGTTTTCGCTGCGCCAGTAAGTTGAGTCGGAACTCCGAACAAGCACGTTTATTACACAACGCTAGACAGTCAATTAAAACTGACAGAGAAACAACAAGAGACGCGGAGTGAAAGGTAACCTAGGTAACGGGTTAATTATGCGTGTAGCGAATAACATAGCAGTACAACTATGCGAGCTATGGCGCTGCTATGGTTGGTGGTCTCATCACATGAGTTGACATCTCTGACTCAAGCACACGACTTTTGATTGAATGTCGTTCACGCACACCCCTGGTAAGGTACCTACAGAAATTGCTATAGTTATAACTTGTATTGTCTAAACATAAAAACCGCTCAATATTTTCTAAGGGAAAAAGCAAAACCAGCCAAATACTTACAAGGGAAATTCCAGGCGCACATAATGTCTCCGGGTAAAATTTTTGCAAGCTGTGTAAGGGAGATTTTTCTTGACACATCTAAATAGGATTTCCTGAAACAAGAGGGGTAGGCAATAAACGTTTGACAACAGGACTGACATAACATAATTACAGACAACGTATTATAACTACTAAAATGTAAGACGATTGAGGTAGGTACAAAAGAAGGCGAACGTTTTAAAGTGTAGGGAGGTTAATAGTGTAACGTGCAGGTTATGCTTTCAAAACAATACCAATTACTGCACTGAAGCACACGTACCAACTCTGCGTTATGGCCAGTACCTCACGCATGCGCACAACCATATCACCCGGGCAGTGGCAGCCATGGACACCTGTTTTGCCCTTGTACGTGTGCTTCAGTGCAGTGATTGGTATGCTTTCAAAACCTAGCTGGATACCTTTTGGCCTCGAAATACTTTTTCAAGCCAGTTAAAAAAAATAATAAACAAAAATTCATTCAACGCTCTTAAGACGGAAACCTTTAGGACCGGCACTAAGTGTGTAAATAAGGCAGGGACCAACTTAGTTTAGGTATCCATTTTACAGAGGTGTCCGTCTTATTGAGGTGTCCGTTTTACCGAGGTGTCCGTCTTATTGAGGTGTCCGTTTTACAGAGGTGTCCCTCTTATATGAGGTGTCCGTTAAGAGACAGTCGACTATACAATTTGATTTTAAATTAGGAAGCCGGAAAACGGAAATTGCATTACATATCTCACAATGAACTGAGACAGCTTGCTCCACACTTTATATATATGGCAATAAAAGAAATATGCCACCGTCGGTGCATGGGCGGCAAAAATTCAGGCGACACACTTTACTAATTACAGGTAAAATATCTTTACGGGATCATACTTTTTCAAACCTCTTCTTAGATGGGAAATTTTTTGAGATGAACTGTTCTTAATACCCTATTCATTCTACTGAGTCTTCCAAGTGCTTTATATCGGCTAGAAGGCCATAAAAATTGCTCACATAAAGTTGAATCCCAGCTTATGTCCCGCCAAAAGCGACACCCGACCCAGGCTCTTCTCGCCACTCATCACCAATCCCCTCCAGGCCAGAATACCGGCTTCATCGCTAAATGTCATAGACTTGCATTCCTGTTTGGATTAAAAAGTGCTTTAGATAAACACCTGCTTTCACAAGCAACGCAAACGCAAGCGCGGGTATAAGATCCTTGTATCGCTTGCGACGAAACAAAAACCATACAGGCTAGAGCTTCTGTTCACATATAAGAATGGGTCATTTCGGCGCGACTTCTGTGACGGAAAGAAGCTGCGTCGCGCCAACCTTGAAAGTGGATCGTCACATATCGGACAGGTTTCTGCCACTCATCGTCGAGGAGTGGACAAGTATTCTGATCATAGCGGAAGTAAATGATTAAGAGGGAGAAGTGGAACCCACAGAGACGGATTTAAATATTCAAAAGTGAGCATTAGGATTCAGTGCACAAAACTCTCAGCCAGCCGGTGCGGTATACGATGTTTGATGTGTGTGAACGCCCTGTTTCAGCTCCGTTTCGTTTCCGTTCATACTGTACCGGATATTCGGCTTTCAAGTCGGCACGAAAAGCTACCCGGCCCCCCCATATTTTTCGACCAAAATGAGGCCTGAATGGCCGAAAAAAAAATTTTGGAGACCGTCCCCCCCTATCTCAGGGTCTGGATGACCGCCCCCCCTCTCTTATCTGAGGGTCTGGATCAGCCACTGTATAAGCCATATAGGTATGTGCCGCCCCAAAGGGTAAGATTTTGGCGTCGTTTTAGTCTGAAAACGGGTATAGATTTTGACCATTTTTGATCTGGAATCGATGGTTTACAAAGGAACTACGGATTTGTATCAGTGTCTCCGTCGTTTCAATTTCAAATGAATAAGAAAGAAAGTAAAATATGCAAATTAGAAATGGATTTTAAGAAAGAATGACATAATTGCTGTTTTATGTAAAACATGTAATGTCGCGTTTTTTGACCACCTCAAGGTCTGAAAACGGGTATGCATTTGAAATGCCAAGTCTGAAAACGGGAGTAGAAAATAACGTATTTTGGTCTGAAATAGGGTCAGGATTTGGATAACCGGGTGGCACATCCCCACCTAGAATTCCCAGGAGCACCCCCCTGGCGTATAGTGTACACATAACCAAGGTGAATAACACCACGCCTCTCCTCTTAAAGCACTAGTTTCGTTACAACTGTACCTCCATGTGTTTTGGATGTTCCTTCCCTGGGCTAACTGGTTTCTCTACAGACATCAGCGATCTCAATTTTGGACTATGCGGGCTTGATAACTCGTTTCTCTTTAAGTGTATGACCGCAAACGGAAGACAGTGGCGCGGCCGCAAAGATGGAAGACCCTCATCGTTGTATTCATAGAGATAGTACTGCAAGGAAACATTTCAAAATAGGTGACCGACAAAAAGGCAAAGATTGGTAATCATACACCAAAGGTGCACACCTAAGTGTTCGCATTGCAGAAATGTTTATATTATAGAGGAGAGATTGCATGACTGACGTTTGGTCAGTGCCTTCTAATTAAATGTCCGTTCTATATGGAGTCGTCAGCATGGTCGCGAACTCCAGCACCGTTCTTAAGCCTGAAACATGAAGTCCTACAGTCAAATCTACTTGACAGCGTTACATGTCTGTTTTAATAATTAAGGCATCTGAATTGAAGAGATGGTCACTGTACGAATTCAAGCATCTTTAGCTTCGGTTCAACTGACTGCGCATCATGAAAGTGTCTGTGTGTAGACGTTTGATCACGATCAAGATGCTTGTTACAGGTGAGCGCATTAGATGTAGCGCTGGGGTGATCGTATCAGTAAGGTAGAGAACAAACATGTTATGAAATGAAATGCTATGGGTAAATAAACTTTTCTCATAAGGAAGCTTAAGCATCCACCACGACCGTTTTTGCCAATAACTGTTTCAGCCTTAGGTCAACGACGCAAAGCATGCCGCTGCACGCTCGCGCGGAAAAACATCTGGTACCGAGGATAACAACTGCAACGAGAAAAAAAACGAAAACGATTTATGAGTGAAATAACAGGTCCGCACATCTACTGAACGACTTCGACGCGAACTTTCGACGCTTTACGAAGACTATACAGTCCTAAAGAAATTTTCGTAAACGATCGCTGAAAGACACTTACAAAACTTCCGCGCTCTCGTTGAGAATATTTCTATTAAAAGAAAGAAGATCGCAACCTAAGGTTTAACCTCGACACTTCATTATCATAATCTCTCTCCCTAATCACTACACTACCATACCGATCCGCCGAAATTCCGAAAAAAATTTAAGTACATATTATAAACTAACAAACTGTCTTTCGTAACTGTTACATCAATAACAGGTGACCCTATCCCTTTCCATAATTTGTAACGTACATTCAACTCTTTCTAACACCATTCAAAAACGTATCATTGCCTTACAGAAACTTAGTTCAGCGGACAACTTTTTCGCTAAAACCGTATAACTCTTGATCTTTTAGGTGAGTTTTGGACTTCTACCATGCGATGTGCGGAGAAGACATCACTGTACACAAACTTTGTTTCTGTTAGTTAAATTTGTAACGAGTGAATCAAAGGAATCTTTTGTTTCAAAAACCAATGCACTTCTAGTCTACATGCAGCCGGACTTGTTAATCGAGACCTAGATAGAGAAAACAGTATACTGGCCGCACATATGCCAGTCATTGAAAGGCAGAATTATCATTCTCCGTCTCTATCTTAATTTTTACTTTGGGCTAGACTAAAGAATAAAAATCCTGGATATTGCGTGATCAGAGTAAGGTATTTGTGGCTTCAGTATTGGTCTAGGATTGGTTGTTTATATTCGTAATTCCAGTCTGTATGGCAAATGCAGTTGACTGCATTGTGGTTAAACATAGCTCGGAAATACCTGTATGATAAGGAACAGTTATAAGTGAATCAGTTTGCGAAACTGAAGAACAAAATAACGGTACTGAATAGCGTTTTCTGATGTACATGCAGTTGGTCATCTTGGCCTTAATCTTCATTTTTACTTTGGTCTTCTTGTTGCTGGGAAGAAGAAACAATACCTCAACAGCAAAGAAAACACAAAAAAGAAGAGGAAGGGGCGAAAAAGAGTGACACGACAGAGGCCCTGCCAAGACCCGCATCAGCACAGGACTCGACGAGGACCTGACGAAAATAACGACCAGCCGGCAGGAACCTTATAATCCTCGTGGCACAATATTCCGGTGAGACTTCGTAATGTTGTTGCCGTTAATTTTCCATTTCTTGAAGTTATCAATGATAATTGATACCGTTCCCTTTATAAATAATAAATAATAACAGTTAATAACACTGAGATCTGTTGACACCCACGAGGTTCATCTTTGCACGATTTCTGCGGCAAGTGTTGAGACTTAAAATAATAAGAAAAAGAAAGATGATTACCTCCGAACTTGTTTTTTTATAACGAAACATTACTGTTGAAAAATATAAAGTTATACCGCATTTTATTCTTCTAGGATCATGTGAAGGTAGATTTATAGCTACCACGTAGTTGTTTACGAATGATGGCTGACTAGACCAAAGGATGACATCACCCAGGAATTTTATCAGTAGGACTAAGCTACAAAATAGTATTTCAGAAAATTTAACTTCTTCACTACAACGAATCCATAATGCAATAACAAGTGCTTCGCATAAAAGATAACTGTATTACTGGAAATTAGACTGATGAAGAAATAATAATTTATTCGCGGAGATCACTTGTAGCGTTTTCTTTTTCACATCATCGTTTTGATGGGAATCGAATGTAAGCACTACAATGTTGCTTTTATCCACGGCCGCAGTACAGCTGAACTCCACACTGCCTTAGCTATTCGTTGCTTTGAATTATTAAAGGCAATGTGGATATTAGATAAAAGCATGTTCAGCACCTCTTGTTTCCGCATCAGGAACAAGCAAACCAGAAATTTTAAAATGTCTAGCCTCAAACACAATTAGAAGCTCTTACAAAGGGGCTAATCAACAAAAACTAAATTAAAAAGATAATCGTCATAAGGAAAATTCAACGGTCAATATTATTTTGACTTCATTCGTGACTTTTTTCTACCCGATATTAGCTAATTGACTTCCACGAAGAGTAACATGCATGCAACACAGAGCTGTTTCTTAAAGACGAGCGTGTTGGAATTTTTTTTGCACTGCTCTGGCTATTAAAGGACAAAAAGCGTACAGAGAAAGCGCTATGAATCTTCTTGTATTAAAAGGGTGACCATTTATTCCTTTCCACTATTCTACGTGCGTTTATAATCTGTATTGTTTTGACTGTTAAAACATGGTTATTTCATTCCTCTAAAAACCGCCAAAGATCAACTCAGTTGTGAAAAAAAATTACAAACAGAGTACCGAAGTGTGACGTCATAGAAAATGAAATTTGTGAAATTATGGGATTTGTTAAGATATTCTGAAAGAACAACGTCCAAGACGCCTACTCGCCAAAAATTAGCAATTTGGGGCAGATTGTCTCTGAGATATTAGCCCAGTTATGCTCCAATGACTCCATACAAATCCTTCTGAACCTTACCTTGTTCCTAATCTTATGAACCAAGCCAAATTTAGAAGGATTTGTATGGAATATTGACAGCATAACTGGGCTATTATCTCAGAGACAATTTGCCCCGAATTGCTAATTTTTGGCGATTAGGCGTCTTGGACGTTGTTCTTTCAGAACGTCTTGGACGTTGTTCTTTCAGAATATCTTAACAAATCCCATAATTCCACAAATTTCATTTTTATAACGTCATCACTTCGGTAATCTACACTCAGACAAAAAATCGTCGGCACATAACTAAACAGCATCTGAGTGTAAAAATTCACTTTAAAAATGTAAAAAGAAACAACCAATTACTAATTTCATCTAATGATTAAATAGTTTACCACGTCGTCTTAAGAAGAAAACTTTTGTAGCGGATTTAAGATGAAGGGTCGTTTACGTCAATGGTGGTTAATATAGTAACAACATGCATACCGTCATAACAGGCCACACCAACGGCTTCCGAGATCCACCTACATTAGCTGCCTTACTCATAACAAATGAGTTGGCTTTTCTTGTATACAACGCTGATGCCAGTCTAGCCACAGTTTGTTTATGAGCTGATGAGTGAATGAGCTCCATTTTATCGAAAACAAGGAAGCAGAGGAAATGTTTTCGGTTGACTTAGTGTTCGCCTTTATGGTTTTTATCTTTATTTTCGCTTTCGGCTGTATAATGCAGGAAAGAAGAACCAATAATTCAGCGACAAGGACGTCAAAAAGGAAACCGAGAAAACGCAAAAGAGTGACCAGACGCAATTGCGACGATCAAGTTAAGACTCGACGAGGACCCGAAGAAAATAGTGATGATGAAAGTTACAACCCGCGTGGAAGAATATACAGGTGAGACTTCTAAACGTTGCAGCCTTTATTTCAATAATCTTTTTAATATTCACGTAATGTTTACAGTCACTCTTCCTTTTCGTCGCAAAAAAAGACCGCTTTATTACTGTCATATCAACCAACCACACTGGCAGTGAGGAAAATTAAGAGCTACTAACGGTCAATGACAGAGAGACTTCAGATTAACTTACATGCGCTTAGAACTGAAAAGTATAAGCGCTATATAAATATTTTATTATTTATTATTTATTATTATTATTAACTTCTACAAATTTAAAGATTACTTGATTTCACGTGGTCTTTGCGACTAAGCGAACAATTGAAAAAGAGTAAGAAAAGGAACAACGATGACGTTTCAAAAGTCCAGATGTAGAGTTTTTGTTTTCCTTTTTTTTAGGATGATGTGAACAGAGAATTAAAATAATTAACTAACCACTGAGGGAGACGTCCAGAAGAAGTCGCCTTAGTTGACGCTTTTACTAGTCACTAATTCGCTTAGCTTCAGTGCTAGTTGCAAATCAGTCCATAATGACGTCGCTCTATATTCAAAGGACCGTTGGCCACTAGCAGTGCGGAAGTGGTGTGGAGTGCTGAACATTTCAGAGTTCCCGCTTGTCCTTGTCAAGACGGCTGATCTTTTCACGAACTTTGATGTTGGGTACGCCGGAGCACACCCGGTCATGCACTTGAACACTATATACTATATACTTATATCCATTTGATGGGATATGTAAGCACTGCAATGTTGGTTTTACCCAGTTTTAGAGTGGGCCACGTGAATCAATTAGGAATTCATGATTAACTTATTGTCTTCAAATAAATACTGACTAACTCGTACGCAGATAGCCTGCGAGGTGCGAAGAAAGAATCAGTTTCGCGTAATCGGTTTTTGTTTGTTCCTTCATAAATAAGTTACCTTCAAATAGATATAAATGAATGAATTCGTACGGCGAAGAACGAACCAGTTAATGTGAAACTTGTTTTTGTTTGGTTCCTTCCTTTGTCAGTGGGTTGCCTTCAGTTCACCCTAAATTGACCTTATTGTAACTTAATTCGGGGAATGACTTAAGGATTGGTTACCAACGGTGGCACAGACTGTTAAACATGGCAACTACCATTTACGAAAGGGAAATATGAATCGCCTACATGTGAAAAATTGACACGAAGGAATGCAGTGACTTTCGTCACGGTGACTTAAGGGAGCTTAAGCAACGACGACGGCGACGGCAATGAGAACGACACAAAAACAATAAGTTTGGATAAGCAAAACCACACTGAACTTCGCACGTGCAGCATGCTTTTTTGTACATTTCTTTGCCATCGTTGCCCGAATAGGACGTGAAAATACCAAATTTCAGCGCGAATTCGCTTTTTAAGCGACGTTTTCATAGCCGTCGCTGTCGCAACCTCGTTCCCAGGGTTCTGGTAGGAGAGAACCCTGGGAACGAGGTTGTCGCTGTCGTTGTAGCCTCCCGAACAGACATTCTTAGGCGTGCCTCACGCGTTCCTTCCCCACGTTCGTGGGGAAGGTACGCTTGACGCACGCCTAAGAATGTCTGCGGGGGAGGCTCCTGTCCTTTTTCAAAACGTGATGACATGCAGCCGTGAAAAACGTGCGTAACAGAATGCCAGACAAATAATAAATCGATGACAACTTACTATGGTCTATTAACTTTGATCGCAGAAATGACGTCAAAATGTTTTTTAAGACGGAAGCCATTAGGAAATTGAGTAATTGACATTTTCAGTGGGCAAAAACCTTGTACCAGAATAATGTAAAGAATATTGCATAATTAGTTTACATTTTTCAAGGGCTAAAGATGTAATAAATCATCGGTAGTAACACCTTAGAACATTTCTCATGAAGTCCGAGAAAATAAAAGTCAAATTTCACAAGAATTGTGCTTACATAGGTAAAATTTCTGAAAATTTCATTTGTAAGGTTAGATGTAACTTTGTGAAATTTGGCATTCATTTTCTTGGGCTCCCATAAGAATTTTTTTTTTGGTGTTACTACAAATGATTTATTACATCTTTAGACCTTAAAAAATGTAAGAAAGAATGCAATATGCTTTAAATTATTCTGGCACAAAATTTTTGTCCACTGAAAATCAAAATTACTCAATGTTCTGGTGGATTCCATCTTAAATCTTTGTGGTGGAACTACTTACCAGTTCCAGTACAGACCATGGAAACTTTGTTTTTTACAATAACATTGACAGTTTTTGACGTTCATTTCCCGTGAAGTTTCCCGGAAGATCGTGCGCGAGAAAAAGAGAAAAACAAGTTGCGCGCCACTATCAAGTCATTTCCAAGGTCTACAGTCCCCCACGACTCTACTAAGCGGTCACCCGCGGGAATTAACCAGGTGACCACTTAATTGATTGAGTTTGACCGGGTTTTCCAAACTTGATTAAGCCCATTAATGGGGCAGAAGTTGATGTATTAGTCATTCCCTACAAGTACCTGAGTATTCCTTAAGAGAGTAGTGAAGTCCGTAACAGAGGAGCTGGTAGTATTTCTACATATGTGACAGTCATGGTTCGGAGTCGGCTCCAGGTGAGGTGTGTCAGAAGACAATCTGGGCATTACAGACTTTACACGACCTTTAACAACCTACAGAAAAAAGAAGCAGCTTCTATGAAACAATAAAGGAGATGAAAAAAGCAAATTGCCCACAGCTTTGAGCTTAAAGTTTCTTCGTTAGTCTCCTACCCGCGCTAACAGAGGTCTCTCACGGGCAAAAGGAAGAATGAGAGGAAAGACAACAGACCTCTAGCCTAGATTTGACTCCGTTTTTTGCCTTTTTCCACAATTGCGGAGCAGGGTCTCAGGCTTGAAGACCTCTGTCGGCCTCCGATGAGTAGTCTATAACAACCACTAACGTTTTAGTCGCGTGCGAAACAACTTACAGAAACGGTTTGCGCAATAACTGTGGGCTCAAAAATTTGCAGCGTGCAGTCTTAACAGGGCATGTGCATTCCACATTAATTGTAGACTCCGAGCGGTCGTCTTTCCTCGGAGCCACGCGCGGCGAGCGAAAAAGTAAAATTATTCAAATTAATGGTAAAAACGAGGAGAGATTCGGGTTTCCGCAGTCGTTTCCCGCGGATTAGCTGCTCGACCCAAACTCGTGCTCTCGATCTACGGTGACACAAAAGAAAAATAAGAGACTGCTCGTAGTCTACATTAATTGACTCAACGAAACCGGCTTTGAAAACCAGCAAGTTTAGACCAAAAAGGTGGTCGCGACTACATGAAAGAACGCGTCGGAGGCCGGTAGAGGTATCTCTCTTTCCTATCATTTTTTCTTGCTGTCAGAGAACTTCGTCAGCCGGTTATAGGTTCTTAGTCGTGGGAAAAGCGAATACAAAAGTGAGCGCTCAGAAAAAAGGGAGCCCTGGCTCTCCCTCTCCCAGGCCTCGCCTTTTTATTGCCTTTTCTTTTCAGGGCATGGAACAGGCGCCCCAAAACACTGTTTTTCTATACCTTCACGTGTGTGAAGTGCATTAGGTGTGTAAGCGTGGGAGAGAGAGGGGAAGACGTTCGGAAGTGAAAACGTTCGCAGTTTTTCTCGAAGCTAAGGACTCGTTAAGAGTACCTCCTTTTCTTGCAAGACCCCAGGTGTTTTAAAGGTGCAAGCTGTAAATGATCTAATAGACGCCCGGGCGTATATTTTATTTTAGGAGTCCAAGAGGCATGGGCGTTTGCTGGATACTCGAGGGGGCGTGCAAAAGTGAGGGGCATCTATTCTCATAAATGTAACACACTTTACAAAACTAATATGCTTTCTGCGAATATATAACCACAGTTTACAAACGAGGACTATCCAGTCCATTATCACAACTTCGATGTCAGAATCCTTACTTTAACCTTGACATTAAATAAGATGCGATATACAAACACTTGATGATCAAGCAAGAAACTAAATAAATCTTGAATGATTTCGCTCCATTTTGCTTTTTTTTTAACTCTAGTATTTAGCTAGAGCTGGCATGCGGGGTGCCTATCAGACGAGGGGAGTTTATAAGAGAGGGGCGTCAAACACAAACTAAAAGCAAGCAAGATTTCATAAGCTAACGACTGGATCAGGCTAGTTTATCAGTAGGACGATGGAAGATTACTATACCCTTCGAGCAGAGGCTACAATATCACAATGTGAGAAAAGTGCGTAGTGGTCCTTTTCGCACGGCGGATGGCACCGCGAAAATGTAAACTCTGCTCGCCAGATACATGATTACGAAAATTCGGCGACAATTAAATGCTGTTTAAAAATTCTGTGCTGATATATATTCTTTTTTCACAGATGTCCCTCTATAAAGCAAAGAATTGCTTTTAATGCCGTTTTAGTATATAAAAAAATGACTAGAACGCGTGAGCGAAAAAATTCTCGAAACGCCGAGAGTGTTATGCTCAAAGTTGCGTAAATCGACCTGAATCAGTGCATGAAATCTTGCATTTCCTAATTTTTAATATCTCACCCATTGTACGTAGTATGTGTGAAAATCTTTGATATGAATCGGTACATTTCAAAGAGCTACAGAAAGACCAAGGATAAAATTGACCGACAACATACAGAGCGAGGGCAGCTTTAGTGTCAACGATTACTAGTTAGACAAGGGGCATTTATTTGAAAGAGGGCGTCTTTTTGATCATAAACAGATCATACTGTAGAACATTTTACATTGTACTCATACTTTTATCCTGTGTTACAGTGTTTCTTGTATTGTAATATATATATCCTTTAACGCGCTAATTTTTATAATAAAAATATCGTAGGTGACGAATTACTTCTTAATTTTGGCGCGAAATTTCAGCGTTGATTTGCATGTGAAATTACAAAATTGCCATGGCAACCTTCCGTACGTCTCAGTGTCAAGATGGCGACGAAGTTTTAAAATGATGCCAGGGCATTAAAAGACGCTTTAGAAAACCTGAACACACGAAAGAGCACATCAAGAAGGATTCTAACAGGTATTTTGTCGAAACATTCTGAACTTAAACCAAATTTAAGCTCTAACACATTCGAGTTTGGGGAGTTCTCGATCGATGCGATCCAGGATAAACATGTCAAAAATCCAAAATTGCTTACGTAATTCGTCACTCATGATGTTAATAGGTAATAAAATGGTATACTCGTGAAATTGTGGAATAATTTCACTTGCGTCTTGTCCAAATCCTAATAATTTCCCGAGCCTAAAGGCTCGGGAAATTAGAAGGACTTGGACAAAACGCGCGTGAAACTAATCCCTAATTTCACTCGTCACCAATTGATTATGCATACTAATAACTCATCTTTATTTTAGCTTAATAGTTTAGTCTTATAAGAGGACCCCTCTGCAAAAAACTTAGTCAATGAAGTTGGCTTCCTCATTAAAGATTAAAATTGTTATTTCTGTTATTAACGGTACATTCCCGTTGCAAAGACCCGACCTAAGCCACCGCGCGTTTAGTTTATTGTACTTGTGAGCAGGATACAGAAGAGTGGTACTGGGGACAACAATTTCATCAAATTGGTGCACTCGACCGAAACGAGCGAAACCGTCAAAGTGGACCGATCGAGTATTCCGAGTATTCCGATCGACCCAAACAAACAATTTCCGTTCTGTTGGATTTCGAATCGAATTTTTTGGAAATATTTTGGTCTGAATAGAAAGCATCTAGTGAGCCCTTACAAGGACCTATTACCATATCATGTTCTCCTTGTTGGAAATCTCCCAAGATGCTACAGTTATGATATTATTATACAACAAGAAAGTTACAATACAACACACGTTACTTACTTTAAAAACTATGAGGCAGGCTGAACGCGAGGAAGGCCAGTGTAGGGCCTTTAGACACAAGTCAGGACATTTCCACACCGTCACCCCCATATCCCCATCGCCAAGGGTGTGGTCGACTCCACTGCACTCCAAACCCGAGCGGCATATCTCCTTTACTCGGCTCTCTTCAGTTTCAACGCAAAAAGCTAGCTGTTCAGAGAGTTCTTTGAGGGACCTGCCATTGTGTCGTAGCTCAGCTTTTTTCTCGTGGTATTCCCTCTCCAGGTTTGGGTTGTCGACCTTTTTGATTTGCGAGATACTGACAGCACGATCAAGGTCGTTTAAGTCCCATGTTTGGCGTTTAACGGCGTTTTCTATGTCTTTTGCTTCTCTGGAGTCACCTGGTAAAGTGTACTGGCAATCTAAGACGGCAAAAACCCGGATCAATAGACCTCATTCACGATACCTGGCATCTTTGCCCGTGCTTAAGGAGTAAAGGGATAAGAGTAACGTCACGTTGTTTCTCAGGGTGCCAGCAACAATGCAAGAAATCCTGGCCGAGTTAGTTTACTCTAAGCAACAGAAAATGAGGAACTTTTCACGAAGATAGCGCCAAATTAGGAGTGGATCGTTGTTTCTTCAGTTTTCTGGATGCAGTGGCAACGGTTGATGTTCTCACAGAAAGCAATACTGACTTAAAACTTGTCGAAACTGTGCATTTTGCAAGGCTAAAATCGTCCAATCTTTTTGAGAGAATAAACAGACTCGTCTGCGCTTACTCGTATTGGCAAATGTTACCACGTGTTTACCGTCTGAAATACCACGTGACATTGCCTTTATCTCATCAGCCCTTGAAATCAAGACCTAGTGCAAAGATGGCATGAATAAGACTATTCAAGTGACGCTTAGCCATAAGATAGGGGTATGTCGGCACGTTCCTGGAAGGATTGTAGAAGGATATTTTCGCACAACACTTGAACAGACAATTTTATAAATGGATCAATATGGTCATAGTGAACAGCTGTAAAAACACAAATATATATGGATTAATTTTGTAGGGACAAGCGAGCTTTTAAGGACAAAGCCTGACAGTTAAATTATGAAAAAAAAAAGATTAAAAACACTAATAGCAATAATAATAATAATAATAATAATAATAATAATAATAATAATAATGATAATAACAATGATAATAACAATAAGAATAATTATAATAATATTGGATCCTGCCCGAATTAATCTTTTTTTTTAAGGATCTTTTTTTATTTTTTTTAAAGAATTAGGAATTTAGGAATACAAGATTTTATTCTTTTTAACTTGTTTGTTTTAAACAAATACCACAAGAAGACACATTAGACCTTTCTTACACTCCTGTGATTTAAGGCATTAAATAATTTGAAACTCAGCATAGTGGAAGATAGGAATTAAGGCCACAAAATTTGCGAGACTTCAAAAGGGAGCTCAGAATCTAATTTACAGGTTAGCAAGTCATGAAAGAATTTACTTGTGAACTTAAAAGTCAATAGCTATTATCAATCTGCAAAAAGATCTGAAAAAACAGAACCAAAAAAAAACTCTATGAAGCTTATATTTTTCAACAATTTTTTTAAAAGGAGTTGAGTTTAGGATGACACGTACCTCTCCAGTTTCTCTCATTTACACAATGTTTCCTAGAGATCACTATCAGTCATTATTTTGGTGGGGAATTATTATTTTGGGAAAAAAAACTCCAGCTGGTTGACACTTTGACTGGCATGAAGACAAATCTTCAATAAAGAACACTGTTGTGTTTGTAAAAGTCGAACTCTCTTGTCTAACAATGATTTTAACCAATAAAAGCATCCCCTGTGGCTACGTTAACAGGTGTTCATAAATATGATGCTTCTTTCCGTCTTTAAAAACGCCACAGATATTATGTACAAAGAAAACTTAATGCTACAGATATTATGTACAAAGAAAACTTAACTTGATAAACACTGTAAAATACCCCTGGTGATTTTGGTTTTATGTTTTACTGGATTATAAAGACAAAACATTTTCTTTTCCACATAATGTATTTCGACACATGCTCTAATACATTTGTAGTCATGACCTGTTTAAATAATCAGTCACGGAAGAAAACAATTTAAATTTTTCTCACAAAAAGACTGCCTTGCATTGTCACTTAGCAACTGAATAGATGTTTGAGGCAGGTGTCACTTGTATTGGCAAAACGTTTTCGTCAGCTCACCGCTACGAACACAAAATCTACGATTGGAGTTTTAGTTTCTAAAGAAAAGAACTAATCTTAAACAGGCATAACCATTATTTTTCATTTTTAATTCAAATTTATTCTACATGTGTTGAGTTTAACTGTCTATAGTCTCAAGAAATATAACAAAGAAAACAAACAAATTAGTTACAAAAGCCGCTTTTTCTATTTGTCAGAATTTGCTCGCGAGTATTCTTTTGTTTTCGTTTTTCTTAGGGGCATTATCTATTTTCGCTAAGGAGATAAAACGCCTGTTGCAATTGAATAAAGAAAATAAGAACATTCCTTCAAGTACAACTGATTAACTAAACCAGAATATAACTTGCTGAGCGCAGCGGCACTGTGTTGGGAATGATGATGCTAGAGTAAAACATTTAACTTTATGGATTAAATGGTTTCCTTTATTCTGTGCGCGTTGTGACTAAGTTCTTATCCATTAAGGACTCAATTTCAACATTTAAACACTGCTTACCTTCCGATGGCCTCCTTTCTTTCCGGGGAATCTTGAACGTCGTTGGATGGAAAGCTCGTACTTCCATATTTGAAAGAACCATCAAACTCGAGTGACTGAAAACAACATGAAATAGACGAAGCAAAAATTGCTGTTAGGAAAGTGAAAACCACTATCATTGTGGAGAAAGAAAAACAGTAAAGTTTAGAATCAAGCCTATGTTAGGCTAATTTGTTAGCCAGGCGAGAAATTTGCTGTTTAAAAAGAGAAAACATTGCAATTGAATGATAAATATCTCTCACCTAAACAATTGTCCAGCCGCGCTGGAAGTGAATAGCGTTCCGGTGTGAATTTAGTTTAACTTGTTTCCTCTTTCCGACGAATAGTCAGATTATATAAAGATTATAAGCTTTTGTTTTTGAATTTTCAAGATATACAAGGGTCACGAAATTTACATTATCCGCAAGCACCTGTTTTCTAAATTATCGATAAATGACGTTTTAAACACGCAAATTAAAAATAGGTCTTGGGCCACTTAACGTAACGGACGCTTTTTACTAACTTCCCGACCGATTTCCACGAATGTCACTTATATATTTTTGAAAATTCGCTGCGTTTTATCAAGTTGGTAGTGTTAATTTAAGTAGAATTAAAAGAAAGAGAACGAGAAGACAAGAAAAAACGAAAACAATTGTTTTAGAAGTCAACAAATGTCTTGCATAGGAGTTATGAGTTTATTAACAGCGCGCTTTTACCAATAAGATCTATATTGGTTAAAACTCTTCGCCGACTTTGATGATCAGTGTCAACTACGACTTTTTATTAGTGTCAAATAATTAAAATATTCACCAGCTTATGTAATAACTATTGCATATCAAAGAAAAAAAGGAAAACTATATTCGTCTCGATCAACAACTCGAACACGAGCTTCAAATGAATGAGCTCCTTAAGCACAAAATAAAAACCTTTAGAAATACAAAAACATAATCAATCTACCTGGGCTTTCGAGGAGAACTTCGGCCAGCCGCTAAATCTGCCAGAAAAATTTTGATCGTTCTGGAAAGATCTTGAACTTCTCCTCCTCAAAACATCGTGTTTGATCAGAAATGGCTGTCAACTTTGTTTGATGCGAACGTCATTCATCAATTTGCGCGCGAAACCCGACAGCCTATCAAAATGCGCCAAGTAATTGGGGCAGTAATTGGCCGCTATTTTTGGTTTCCGCCACCTTCAAAGATTTCGCCTTCAGAAGATTCCAACTTTGCTTTTTGTTTTTACACGATCAAACAAAGAGCATAGTTTCACAGAGAATTTTTTTGCCCAGCGATAAAGTGCAAGACAAAGGGTCGTTGATGACAAAGGAAACTATAGACGCTACTAAAGTCGCGTTTGTCTATTCAATTAATGCCAGAAATCCATAATCCACGAGGGAAAAACTCGTGGTTCGGTTCGGAACTTTTTTACACGTTTCACAAGACAAAAACGACTTGGTCGATAACGAAGAGAAAATAGCCATTCAGCCATGCAATGTCACTTCATAATCAAGTGACAAAATCAATCAGACTCTTAAAACGGCTACATTAAAGATGACGACGCGTTTTCAAGATTTAAAACTCTAAAATACAGACATATATGTAGATGAAGCTTTTTACAAAAAAAAATGTAGTTAGATTTTCTTAGACAATACCAACTGCGGGTCTGTAGAGAAACATGTCGTTGAATGTTTTTTAAAGGTGCTATGCCACAAGGAGTTGCTTTTTTAGGTTAATTCTGTGCTGAAGTCATTACTTTTTACCTTTTATTATATAGACACGAGTGTTTTACTGGAAAATATACCAGGAGTGCTTATAAACGGTGGGCTTATAACTACTCGTAAAATTCTTAAAAACTACATCCGGGACCCGAGTAGTTTATTTTCCATAATCTCACACGCGAGTTTATCAATGACGTAATTTTGGTAATTTCCCTCTATTATTTTATCGATGTCATTTTGTCTACATTATAAAAAGAACATTACACGGCGGCTTGAAGATATGAATTTTATTTTTGCGTGGCAAAAAAAAAATTTTATTCACTCGCTGCGCTCGTTCGTAAAATATTGTTTTGCCACTCGAGAATAAAATTCATATCTTCGCGCCACCGTGTAATATCCTCTATAAAAAAATGCTGCTGTATAATTGTAAACAAGGTTTCAAACAAATTCCGTCAGAGAGCATTAAACGAGAATTTTTTTTTAGGTGGGGGGGGGGGGATGGGGGGGGGGGGGGGGGGTTGATTTTTGCAGGTATAGCATTAAAACTTGAAAAAGTTGGCCCAGCTGTTTCAAGTTTCAATTCATGCCCATCCTTGCCATTAGACGACAGAAAACAGTTCCAATGCCTGGACCATTACTTTTGGATTCCATTGATGAGAAGACAAGTGTAAGGGCCTGTTTACATGGAGGTGGGCGACCCCAGATAGGTGCGTTAACATGTGGCTGGTCCTCACCTATCATGTAAACGTGATCAAATTATAAAAGAGAGATTATATGGACAGGCGGGTTACCTCACCTACCTGGGGTCCCCCACCTCCTTATAAACAGGCCCTAAGGGGGTGTTTACATGAGAAAACTCGCACCGGCGCGAGTTTCATACCGGGATGACTTTTTGATTTCGTATCGCGTTCACATAATGACTGGGTCATTTCATTTGTCGTTATTTGAAGGTAAACTTCATGTTGATAAAATACACGTGATCTCGCGCCGGCGCGAATGTCACCCCGGTGTCGTGTAAACACCCACTGAGGCTTTTGAAAAGATAGCATAGCCTGAAATAGTCCTTTAAAATAATCCTGATGTTAGGTCATTCTTACGTCATAGTTTTTTAGAGATGGCGAGAGATTCCAAAGAAATTGACAGATAACAACAAAAGATTCTTGACGCTTAACAATGGCCCTGGTAATTTTGCGCTCAGTACCTACTTTCAAGGTTGGAGCCAATGTAAATTGTCCTGATCACTGGTTAGTAGCTTGTCTTACTTTCAAATATCTACGTCAATGAGATAACTCTTAGACGAACGGGACAAGGAACAATTATGGAACCGTCGCTTTTGACTTTAGTTGCATCCAAAATCTGAGAAACTGTTCCCAGTAAATTAAAATAATAATATCATAGATGACGAATTACTCCTTAATTTTGGCGCGAAATTTCAGCGTTAATTTGTTATTTCACATGTGAAATTACAAAATTGCCAAGGCAACCCTTCCGTACGTCTCAGTGTCAAGATGGCCACAAAGTTTTAAAATGCCGTGAATGAAGATGTCAGGGCACAAAAAGACGCTTTAGAAAACCTGAATACACAAGAGAACATCAAGAAGGATTCTAACAGCTATTTTGCCGAAAAAGTCTAAAAATTCTGAACTTTATAAGCCAAATTAAGGTCTAAACATTTGAGAGAGTGGAGTTCTCGATCGATACGATCCAGGATAAACATGTGAAAAATCCAAGATTGCTAACGTAATTCGTCAGCCATGATATTAATAGGTAATCAAGTGGTATACTAGTGAAATTAGGGAATAATTTCACTTGCGTTTTGTCCAAATCCTAATAATTTCCCGAGCCTTTAGGCGAGGGAAATAAAAGGCTCGGGAAATTATTAGGATTTGAGTAATACGCGCGTGTAATTACTCCTTAATTTCACTCCTCACCATTTGATTACACATACTAATATACAACCACTTTTACAAGCAATACAAAAAACTTTACCTTACAAATACCAAGTAACTTAATTTGATTTCCCAGCACTCCAGTGAAAAACTACTGTCAATAACTATTTATATCATCGATCGAGTCTACAGTTTTTACATAAAAAAAAATGTCAGTAAACTTTTTCTCTTCTATTTCCTGTAATTTTCTGTAAATGTATTCGCCATTTTTAAAATTGCGCGTGGCAAACCTAACCTACTTTCTTTCCACCATTTACTGATATTGCTTTTCTTTTTCTATATTCTTGCAATGTATTGTTATGTACAAAGTAACATCTAGTGTAACCGAAATAAACAAATCTGAAATCTGAAATTTTGTTTCAGCCCTTACCGGACCTTAGCCCTGCTCATGTAATGAGGTATTTTGTTTAACAATTCTAGTACCTTACTTTTGATATGTTTCATTTTCTCTTCAGTACTAGCTCTGAATGTAAAATTAGTCTTTTAATTGCAATATGGTTTTATTAACAATTTAATAATTTCAGTTCTATCCCACTTTTAAGATGATATGTACATGTATTTGTTTTTTTAATTTTATCCTTGGTTTGAATTTTCTTTTCTTTTTGTTTTTATAGTTACGGTAATGTATGTGATATTGAGTTCTTGAAACAAAGGAAAATATATTTGACAGCACGGTTAAAATTGAACCCCAACATTTGCACTAGTTTCTACATTTTAGCATATTTTATAACTTTTGTTATATATAGAATGTCTATTTTAATTAAACAGCTTTACACTGTTTACCTCAGTGTTTGCTTCACCGAGCTGATTCAGTTTGCTATTTTAATTCCGTCTCTAGATTCATTAGAATAATGATTTCCGATAGTCATGCTGAAACATTGTGTGGCGGTTCGAGCAATTACTCGCTACACGATTCGGTACCAGGAACCTGATTAACATCTTGGTCTTTATTCTTCTTTGACTTCTGCGAACAATCTTAATCTTAATCTTCTTACTGTTCTTCTCTACTCAATCCTTACTAACTAGTGAAAAAGCAACGGTTTTTATAGAAAAAGCTGGACATGTTTCAGGGGTTAGCTTACCGTGAGAATAAGAACTAGGTAAATTAGGTTTGGGTTTTGTTTTGGCATGGTTGCGATCGGCAAGAAGCTACAAACCACGGCCAATGAAAAACTAAAACGCTGGTTAACAAATCCAAACAGGAACTAAAGAGACAAAATGAACCAAGGTCTGTTCTAACATCACAAACACCCACGACCACCTGCGAAAAACTGACATCTAATAATGACAGGCGAAGAATATTCCAAAAATGGCATTTAGGTAATTCGCGAGCTACACGTAAGTAAAAATTCAAGTACAATTAAAAACACAAGTTAAAACAGGAAAAAAAGCTATGCGGAC